GTTGACTGGCCAATGCCAAAGGGTGCTTACCAGTGGCTCCTTCTCATCCCAGAAAGAAGTGACCAGGGGTCTGTCCTGGGTCCATGCTATTCAACATCTTTATCAATGACTTGGATGATGGAATAGAAGGCACATTTATCAAATTTGCAGATGACACCAAATTGGGAAGGATAGCTAATACCCCAATGCCCCCTGGTGGCACAGTGGGTTAAACTACTGAACTGCTGAACTTGCTGACCGAAATGTTGGTGGTTCAAATCTGGGGAGTGGGGTGAGCTCCCACTGTTAGTCCCAACTTCTGCCAACCTAGCGGTTCAAAAACATGCAAATGTGAGTAGATCAATAGGTACCACTTCTGCGGGAAGGTAACAATGCTCTGTGCAGTCATGCTGGCCACATGACCTTGGAGGCATCTGCGGAAAATGCCAGCTCTTCGGCTTAGAAATGGAGATGAGCATCAACCCCACTAGTCAGACATAAGTAGACTCAATGTCAGAGGAAACCTTTACCTTAGTTAATACCTCAGAGGACAGGATCAGAATCTAAAATGACCATACTAGATTAGAGATCTGAACCAAAAATTATTTCAACAGAGAGAAATGAATGGTATTTATTTATTTATGACATTTATACGCTGCACAATATGTAATATGTAAATACATTATATTATTACCATAGCACAATATTAATATTATATATTACTATATTGTACTATACCAGTATACTGTAATATTATTAGTAATATTACATGTAATATTAAATATATAATTATAATATCATAGTATTGTTATTATTAGTAATACTACACATAGGCAATAGAAATGAAATATATATACATAGAATGGGTGGCACCTGGCTTGAAAAAAGTACACATGAAAGGGATCCAGCTTGGAGAAACATTAGGAAGCACTTCTTGACAGTAAGAGCTCTTGAACAGTGGAATATGCTCCCTCCTCCGAGTGTGGTAAAGCCTCCTTCTCAGCAGGTTTTTAAGGAGAGGCTAGATGGTCATCTGTCAGGGGTGCTTTGATGGTGTGATCATGCATGGCAGAATGGGGTTGTACTGAATGGTCTTTGGAGTCTTTTCCAACTCATTCGATTCCATGAATTCCCACTCAGCCAAGGAAAGCCATTGGATGACCTTGGCTCTCCTGATTTGTAGGACTGCAACTCCTGAAATTCTTTACCTTAGGTTCTACTGGTTAAGGCTGATAGGACTTCAAGTCCTACAGCATCTGTGGGCAGCATGATTCCCATCCCTGCCTGAGACATTAGTGATTGTTCTGCAAAGACAGAAACCTTATGTACATGTAGCTGCATGCATTTCTTGATATCTAGCTTAAGAAAGAAGAACAACAAGGAAAGACTACTAGAGACATCACCGGAACTGGAGTGACATTGCACTGTGTACTATGTTCCCATGGCAACTGATCATAGGAAAATGAATGTTTCATATTCACTCTGCTCTGTGGTACACGTTTAAATCAAAATTTCATAAAGAGCAAAAGATCTTGACAGAAAACGTCTATCCAAAAACAGGTTATTTATGTATTACTGCACAGTTATAGGAAATAAATAATAAGATTACTTTGGAATGAAATCAACAAAAAATATACAGGAATTAGTATCTCTCTACTGTGGAATCCCATGTATCAAAATATAAACCAACATAAAATGCCTGGCAGAATATTCCTCTTTCCTTTCTCCTTCCCTCCTTTTTTCTTTCTCCTCCATTCCTCCCTTCCCCTTCTACACAGGCCCTTTGTTGTTGTTCATTCATTCAGTCGTCTCCGACTCTTCGTGACCTCATGGACCAGCCCACGCCAGAGCTCCCTGTCAGCCGTCACCACCCCCAGCTCCTTCAAGGTCAGTCCAGTCACTTCAAGGATGCCATCCATCCATCTTGCCCTTGGTCGGCCCCTCTTCCTTTTTCCTTCCACTTTCCCCAGGCCCTTAGCAACAGCTAATTCTGAGAGGACAACTCCCATGCTGCGACAGCTCCACAGGTTGCTGGTCTGCTTCCAGGCTAAATGCAAAGTGCTGGTTGTTACCTATAAAGCCCTAAATAGTTCAGGACCAGGCTATTTGTCTAATTGCATCTCCCTATACAGGCCATCTCGTGCGCTGCAGTCAATGGAGAAGGCCCTGCTCTCAGTCCCACCCCATTACAAGCACAGTTGGTGGGAATGAGAGAGGGGGCTTTCTCCGTTATCATTCCCTGCCTCTGGAACTCCCTCCATAAAGAAATAAAAAATGGCCCCCACCCTCCTCTCCTTAAAAAAAGATAAAGAGGAAGGAGCATTTCCCTTTCTTTGCCCTGCCTTTTACTCCCATTACTGATTTTTTCCTCCATGGTACACAAAACTTGTAAAGGGATGATAAAGGGTATCATAAGATGCAAGCATTTACCAGAATGTCTTCTGCCAACAACTTTCTGAATGATACCTCGCAGAGGTATGCTTACTCTGAATTATGACAAGAACCATAAGACACTGTGATTTTAAGAGTCCTTGTGGACAACAAATTAAACATGAGCCAACAATGTCATGTGGTGGCAAAAAAGCCAATGGGATTTTGGCCTGCATAAATAGAAGTATAGTGTCTAGATCCAGGGAAGTCATGCTGCCCCTCTATTCTGCCATGGTCTGACCACACCTGGAATACTGTGTCCAATTCTGGGCACCACAACTGAAAAGAGATGTTGACAAGCTGGAATGTGTCCAGAGGAAGGTGACTAAAATGATCAAGGATCTGGAGAACAAGCCCTATGAGAAGTGGCTTAAAGAGCTGGGCATGTTTAGCCTGAAGAAGAGAAAGCCAAGAGGAGACATGATGGCCACATATAAATATGTGAAGGGAAGTCATAGGGAGGAGGAAGCAAGGTTGCAGAACAATGGCTTCAAACTATAGGAAAGGAGATTCAACCTGAACATTAGGAAGAACTTCCTGATTGTGAGAGCTGTTCAGCAATGGAACTCTCTGCCCCGGAGGGTGGTGGCGGCTACTTCTTTGGGGGCTTTTAAACAGAGGCTGGATGGCCATCTGTCAGGGGTGCCTTAAATGCAATTTTCCTGCTTGGCGGGGGTAGGACTATATGGCCCATGAGGTCTCTTCCAACTCAATTATTCTATGATTCTATGTTTATCACCTAATGATCTTGCCTAACCTGCTCCATCAATTTAAACTTGTGTTAACAAACAGAAAATGGTATACTTTTCGTTTAAAAATAACAAGCTGTGAAAAATTCCATACACTACTAAGACACTAGAGGTGCATCTACATTGCAGAGTCAATGCAGTTTGACACCAGTTTAACTGCCGTGGCTCAATATTATAGAATCCTGGGAGTTGCAGTTTGGTGAGACTCCAGCTTCACTTGACAGAAGAAGCTGAAGACCTTGTAAAACTACAATTCAAATGATTCTATAGCATTAAGCCATGTCAAAATAGTGTCAAATTGCATTAATTCTAGAGTGTAGATACACCCCAAGTAATCCATAAATTAACAATATACAAAAGAGCTATAAAAGTGACTGAATTGGCTGCTTCTCCACAACCCAAAACTCTATCACAACCAGCAAACTCCAAATTCAGATTAATACCAGAAATACATGCAACTGCTACTAGTGCTATATTGCTTCCTGACAGGCAGCTATGAATGCTCTGCTGTTTTGCCCCAAGTATACAATGAAGCAACTGATGACTGTTACAGACTCGACATCAAAGTAGAATAAATGGAAGTTGAAGTGTATCTATTCTATTACTGCAACTAAGTACACTGTATCAGGCCAACTAATAAAAGCAACTGATACTGAACTCTCTAGAGATGTAAATTGTTAGACATGCATTACATTTCAGCAGCAGTGAAAAAAAACAGAAAAAAAACTTTATCTTGAAAAGCAATATAATGCCAGACTAAAAAGAGGGTTCACATTTACATCAAAGAATAAAACACACATCCAGCACCACCAAATGGATCCAAATGTCTGTTGTCAGTTTACATTCATCTTGATTTTCCAGACATTCTGTGAAGATTAACGTATTGTCTTAGAAAACTATTATGCCATGTATCTTTCAAAATATATTGGTTTGAAATTAAAACATTGCCTTTTTTCCCGTGAGAGAAAAAGCTGTTAAAATAAATACTGCTTTTTAAAAAGAACATGTTATGGGTAAGGGGAATAAAAAATGTGTACAATTATAAATGTGAAATTATTGTGTGTATAGTATACACACATGATACACACACTCATTTGCAAGCAGTGGCCTAACCTCAGCATGAAACCACTGAAGTGATTTCCTTTAACCACTTAAGTGCATTTTTAGGTAGCCAGTGTGTAACATGATTTCTGTTTTGTGCATCAATGCTGAATATTTTCTGACTAATGATACCCTGGAGTTTTTCCTGCTTGTGAAAACTTTTTGGCTACTAGAGACATCCAGCAAGAATTAAAAAAAAAACCAGCATTCTGACTTTATTACATAATGTAGTTCTAATTAGTGTGTAGTTACAAAATAAACTCCTGAATGTTGCAATACTTGCATTTGCAAAAAAAAAAAATCTATTTGTTTTGTTCTTAAACTGACTTGACAAAATGTTAACAACATAAATTATGTGTATCTACAGGGGCAACATATGTTGAGCATGTTCGGTGCATGGCGCATAGGAAATAGATAAAAAAATAAACACTATGTAGTATCTTAAGTCTTATTATCATTTTACCCTTTGTCAATCCCATATTGGAGTGTATCTGATACACACTTGGTTTCCAGGATGTTATGTTGGCAAATTGTGAGGAAGGTGGAACTGCTGAATGAATATAGGGTTTCCATGTAATGGCCTGTCACACTTAATGCTCATGTTGAATGTAGTGAGGGGAGCAGAGACAGAACGTGGAACAGGAAGCCATTCACTTCAAGGAGCACACCTTTTACACAGGCAAAAATATCAAGATCTGTCCATATTTTAGGATCATAAACAAACCATTCAGTTTGCCTTACCTGAATACTTCAACAATGGTCCTCTCTGGCAACTTTGGTGCAACAATATTAAAGGCTTTTCTCAAGTCTTCCAAAGACAAGAATCCTTTACCTTTTTTGCAATAGAAAGGAGGGGAACAAGACAGAAAAATATGTTAAAATTAGATATTCAAACATTCATTTTCAAACCAGGGTGTAAATATTTAAAACTGAACATTAGATTATTGAAACCCAAGGCTTTACAATACCAAAAGGGAGCTAAATAGCCTCTTAGAGTACAAATTCTCCTCATTATTTCTGAGAATAATGTCTCGGGTGCACTAGATCTCCCTGATATGTATGACTTTACTTTAATAACATAGTGCAATAACCTTTACTTTCACTAATCATGGATAACATGTATTATTAATGTAATTTTCAGCTTTGAGCCATCTTTGTTCTCAATGTAATTTTGAAGTTCAAGTGCGAAAGTCAGTTCAATATGTCCTTTGATTGTACGGCCCACTAGGCTGACTTGTTGTTTATTTGTTCATGACTCTTCGTGACCTCATGGATCAGCCCACACCAGAGCTCCCTGTCGGCTATCACTATCCCCACCTCTTTCAAGTTCAAGCCACTCGCTTCAAGGATAACATTCATCCATCTTGCCCTTAGTTGGCTCCTCTTCCTTTTTTTCTTTCCATTTTCCCCAGCATCATTGACCGGGCTATAGGGTGGCAACCTGTGCTTGATGGGGTTGAATTCCCCCTGAAGACACAGGTCCACAGCTTGGGGGTCCTCCTGGATTCAGCATTGACACTTGATGCTCAGGTGTCGGCGGTGGCTGGGAGGGCCTTCGCACAATTAAAACTTGAGCACCAGCTGTGACCGTACCTCATGAAGTCTGATCTGATCACGGTGGTCCATGCCTTAGTTACCTCTATATTGGACTATTGCAATGCGCCCTACATGGGGCTACCCTTGAAGACAGCCCAGAAACTTCGATAGGTCCAATGTTTTGCAGCCAGACTGCTAACAGGAACAAATTACAGGGAGCGGTCTACCCCCCTGTTTAAGGAGCTCCATTGGTTGCCATTCCTCTTTTGGTCCCAATTCAAGGTGCAGGTTATCACCTACAAAGCCCTGAATGGTTTGGGACCCACCTCCCTTTGTGAACGCATCTCCTTCCATAAACCTGCATGATCTCTTCGATCCTCTGAGGAGGCCCTCCTTTCACTCCCACCTTCATCACAAGTATGACTTATGGGAACGAGGGAAAGAGCCTTCTCTGCTGTGGCCACTCAGCTTTGGAACCCGCTGCCTAGTGAGATTAGGCAAGCCCCTAACCTGGCAGCTTTTAAGGAAGATCTAAAAACTTGGCTCTTCCAATGTACCTTTGGCAAGTGAACATATATTCCATATTTTTTCTGTCCCAACTACAGTTCCATCCTCATGATGCACTTTTCTCCCGCCTTTAATGAAGGTCTAACCCCATTGTTCGTTCCTTTTGAGCCCCTCCCTCAGAAACACATTCTCCCACTACTTATCTCATCCAGAGTTTTATCAATTTTATCTTAGTACAATTGGCCCACCCATTGTGTTCTATTTTCCTATCATGTTATTTTGAAACAGTTTATTTTATTTTGCTATTTCATGTATTTATTTTGATGGTATTTTTGCTTTTTTGTATTTTATTTTGCTGTACTGTAATTTTGGGCTTGGCCTCATGCTAACCACCCCGACCCCCCTTTGGGGTGATGATGGTGGGGTACAAATAAAGTTTATTACTATTATTATTATTATTATTCTCCAAGCTTTCCTGTTTTCTCATTATGTGGCCAAAGTACTTCATCTTTGCCTCTAATATCTTGCCTCCAGTGAGCAGGTGGGCATTATTTCCTGGAGTATGGACTGGTTTGAAGTTCTCGTGGTCCAATGCACTCTCAGAATTTTCCTCCAACATCACTGTTCAAAAGCGCCTATCTTCCTTCACTCAGCCTTCAGCTATAGGTAACTATGGGGAATACCATTGCTTTAACTATGTGGATCTTCGTTGCCAGTGTGATGTCTTTACTTTTCACTTTTTTATCAAGACTGGTCATTGCTCTCCTCCCAAGAAGTAAACATCTTCTGATTTCCTGGCTGCAGTCCATGTCTTACTATATGTTATACTAAATGTCAGTAGTCATAGTGCTAATAACAAGAAAGACTTTGCATGCAATCCCGAGTTTCTCAAAAGAATGGCACAATTAATGTGTAACACAGAAATTACCAATAAGGGGACTGAACTAAAAACTTACATTGTCTGTCAAAAGCAGTAAATAGCTGCCTTACTTCATTATGGTAAAAATGGTCAGACTTCTTTCTACTCATAAGTTTGAGAAATTCTTCAAGTGAGATACCTGAAAGATGTAGAATAGGTATATATAAACAAAACACACCACTGCTCTTAATACTTATAACTCAAACAATATTAAGGCTTTATCTAATGCTCTGAATAAAATTAAACTGTCATGATAGACTCATTGCAAACAGGTTTCTAAGATCAATTCAGGGGTATTGTGGTTTTTAACTTTGAATATGATTTAATGGTTTTTAACTGGGTATTTTTAAATACTGTTTATATTTAATCCTGTATTAATGTTTGCATGTTTGTATATTTTAAATTGTTATGCTAATGCTAGTGTATTACGGAATGTGATGTTTTTAAATGATTGTTTGTGATACTATTGTTGGAAACCGGCCTGAGTCCCTCTATGGAGGTGAGAAGACAAAAGTTATTTATACAAAAGTTCTAAATAAACAAACAAACAAACAAACAAATAAATAAATAAATAAATAAATAAATATGTTAAGCCTCTGAGTGTCCTTCAGGAGAGATCAAGTGGGGTATAAATAAATATAATAATAATACTTTGAGACTGGTAACTCAGGATATACTTGTTCAACTTTTAGATAGTTAAATTATTCAACTCAGAAGCTGGTGCTTTAGTTTCAGGAGTGCTATATAAAGTTTAAAATTTTATATTCTGATTATACGATGAACAGATAATAAGAATGAAGTTCTACAGCATATTTTATTCTAACTAATTTACTCGAGGCTTTCTGAACTGAATGTTTATGAATAGTTTTACACTGTATGAAATCAAATGAAAACTATTCCTCCTCCTTGCAGCCTCCGGTGAACCTGCAAAATTTTCCCCAGAAAGATGGGAGACCAACAGGACTCTGCAATAAAAATAGTGTCCTTTTACATGAGGGGAAGTCTCTTTTGTGGTCCTCCCATTTATCTGACTGTTCTTCACAGGTACCTATTGATAGTGCTGAGCTGTGTACCACTTTCATTCTCCTCACAGATATATTCTCCAACAGGGAAAAGGAAAGATACAAGATAGTAAAAACTGTGTTAGTTTTAAATATCCTACCCTCGGAACACTCATAAAGCTGTAAGAGCCAAGGAAAATCTGTCCTTTCAGTAAGACAGTATATGAAGTCATAGTAAGGCTTGATATGCATAGGTCCTACCACTTGGTGAACAGGCAATAATCCAGAGTAATACATCCTCCCTCTAGGATTAAAAACATACTATTATTTTTTATATAAAAAGTCACACCTCTCTTTAATAGATTCGGTGTTATTTGCAACTTTAAAATCTTATCAAATTACATTCTTACTTTCATTTCTTTTATCATGTCAGAAGTGAATTGAGAATATACTGCAAGTTGCTTCTGGTGTGAGAGAATTGACCATCTGCAAGGACGTTGCCCAGAGGACGCCTGTGGGAGGCTTCTCTCATGTCCCCACATGGGAAGCTGGGGGTGACAGACAGGAGCGCATCCCATCTCACAGATTCGAAACGCTGACCTTCAGGTCTTCAAGCCAGCCAGCACAAGGGTTTAATTCATTGCACCACCACGGCTTCCTATTCTTACATTCATGACTCAATACAAATTGTTGTGCAATTTGTATTGGGTCTTAAGATGATGCAGTATTCAGTTTCAACTTTTTACATCTCCTTCTTAGATAGAGGCACCTAGTGGAGCTTAACATTACTGGCACTGTTCCCAGATCCAGCCCTCCCTCGCCTCTCAAGTTGGAAGGCCAGTTGAATAAGAACGCTATTCTCTGTCTATTAAATCTTGCTGGGTGGTGTAACATTTGCAGATACAAGGCTCATCCTTTGATCCAGAAGTCTCTTGGGCTCAATTTAATGTTAGATTCTCAGACTGTACAGCTGGGTCAATAGGAGCAGAAACTGTGACACAACCTGTGGCACAATTCCCTTTCAAATTTTGTCAAGTTAAAGTTTTAAAGATCTCATGACAGATAAGAGTGAACATCGAATGCATGCATAATACCTGACTGATTTTGCTTCACGGAGGCCATGGCTGAATTCACTTCCATCTAAAATTTAAACAAAAGAATTAAACCATCAGTGTATGCTATAATATATTTTCTTATAGTTAATGCTCTATTTTATTTTTCTATCTATACATAAACTGTTTCAGTAAAACTATCAGGATACCCTCGTACATAATAATTCAAATATTTGCTCCAGATATAGGAAAATTAAGGCATGATCCAGGCATTGTTGAGCACTTTGAAGTACCATTGATTTCAATTGAAAAGTGAAGTACATGCTTAAATCTCCTGCACTGAGATAAATAAGACTTCAAAGTGCTCAACTTGGTATATTCCAGAAATACATAGTAAAATTGCATAAGCATTAAAGTCTAAGAGTCTTCTAAAGACTATCAATTTTCCAGTTAGGCCAGTAGTTTTCAACCTTCCTAATGCCACAACCCCTTAATACAGTTCCTCATGTTGTGGTGACACCCATAAAATTATTCTCGTTGTTACATCATAACTGTAATTTTGCTACTGTTATGAATATGCCGGATGTATTTTCATTCACTGGACCAAATTTGGCACAAATAACCGATACAGCCAAATTTGAATACTGGTGGTTTGGAGGGGGGGAGGGTGATTTTGTCATTTGGGAGTTGTAGTTGATAGGATTTATAGTTCACCTACAATCAAAGAGCATTCTGAACTCCACCAATGAGGGAATTGAACCAAACCTGGCACACAGAACTCCCACAACCAACAGAAAATACTGGAAGGGTTTGGTAACCTTGAGTTTTGGAGCTGTAGTTCACCTACATCCAGAGAGCACTATGGACTCAAACTATGCTGGATCTGGAACAAACTTGACACGAATACTCAATATGCCCAAATGTGATCACTGGTGGAGTTTGGGGGAAATAGACCTTGGCATTTGGGAGTTGTTGTTGCTGGGATTAATAGTTCACCTACAGTTAAAGAGTCCCTTGAATCCCATTAACGCTGCCTTGAACCGAACATGCCTGCCCTCCCCTTCTCACTTGGAGTATCAGAAACAGCGCTTCCCTTGGATGAGAGGCCAGCTGAGAGGCTGGCCAATCACTACAGAAGGAGGGGTTTTCATAGGAGGATTTACCGTCTGTTTCCTAAAAGGAAGAGAAGGACAGGTGGAGAGATCGTCAGCCTTCTCTGCCAAAGGGGTTCCTATGACCATCAGAAATAGGTTTTCTCTAGGATGTGTGGGTAGCATTTCCACATTTGGATATCCTCTTAGGTCCCCAGATGACAAAAATATTTTTAAATGCCCCAAAATGCATACCAAGGCCCTTCCACACAGCTGAATAAAATCACACATTATCTGCTTTGAACTGTAATATATAGCTACATTATATAGCCTATTAACTGTTTCATGAATATCATTCAGCACATTTAAAAAGCTTGCCAATCCTCACAAGAAGTGAATAAAACATTGTACCTTGGAAGGCTTATAGCCAAAAAGCATCACGACAGCAACCTTGTAGTCCTCTCTGCTTAAATATCCTTTCTTATCTTCATCACATGCCTCAAACACCTAAAGGAAATAAAGAGTGAAGCAAGACTGAATACTTAATACATTCTTAATTCTACTATAAGTTTTAAATATTTGGTTAAATAAAAACACAAGTTATGGCCTGAATGGCTCTGCACACTTTACAAAAGAATTCACCATCCGTGCAAGTTTGTGACACCAAACCATTCCTTTAACACAAATTGCAAGAATTCATTTTAAAAAGTACTTATGCCAGTACTTCTTTGGGAAATCTACATGAAACTTATTTTGAAATTACTTCAATTATGGTTGTGAATTATTTTACTATTTCTAGATGCCATTTATTTATTCCAAATATTTCAATACTATACCAACATTTCCAGGGTGTTTTACAATACCATAACAAAAGTAGAAAAAAATGATGCGATAACATACCTTTTAACACAACATTTGACGGATGAAAACCAGGACATGCTTTGCCAAACAGCATCAGAGAAACAAAAGGTACTAATGAGGAAGAACACATCAGCTAGAAGAGAATGCAGCAGCTTGCTTTTGCCTAAGCCTACTTAGGCCCCTTCCACACAGCTGAGTAAAATCCCACATTTTCGGCTTTGAACTGGAATATATGGCAATGTGGACTCAGATAACCCAGTTCAAAGCAGACTCCAAGAAGGTAGCCTATTGCACTGCACAAGAGCTCTTACTGCCAGGAAGGGAGTTCTTTTGGCTCTGGAACACCCTCCCCAGAGAGATTAGACAAGCAACCACCTTTATGACATTTAGGAGGGATTTGAAGACATGGCTGTTTAACCAGGTTTTTGGCAATGATTAGTCTACACTTTTATGTGGGCAAGGCCTGTGCTTATATAAGTAGTATGGATATACCTCGATTCAGGTAGTAGGCCCCTTTTAACTTATAAGAACAATTGTGGTTTTAGATAAAGTTTTGTAATTTTTATTGTGAATTTTATTTACTCGCATTTTGGCTTGTTTGTTTTTATATTGATTTGATGTTATTATTTGTTATTTTATTTTTATGTATCTTACAGTATTTACTCATGTTGAAAACTGCCCCAAGCCCCACGGGAAAATGGGATGGGGTACAAATAAACTTTATTTATATTTATTTATTATTTTCATGGCTCTTTTAACTATGCTTTTATTGTAACTTGTTGTTATTGCTTTTCATGTGATTATCTTATAGTTGAATGTTTTGTATCACTTATTAGTATTTGTTTAATTTATTGTTGTGTTTTTATGACATTGAATTTTTGCCTTTAATGTTGTGAGATGCCTTGAGTCCCTTTGGGGAGATGGGCCGGGATAGAAATAAAGTTTTACTTACTTACTTCTTCCTAATGTTCAGGTGGAGCCTTCTTTCCTTTCTGCAGTTTGAACCCATTGCTCCTAGTCTCCACCGCAGCAGAACCAAGGTTTCCCCCTCCTCAATGGGACAGCTAATTTCAAATAATTAAACAGGGCCATCCTGTCGCCTCTCAACCCTCTTTTCTTCAGACTGAACATACATACACACACAGATTGGATCAGGCATGGGCAAACTTGGCCCCTCTGGGTGTTTTGGACTTTAACTCCCACAATTCCTAACAGCCTCAGGCCCCTTCCTTTCCCTGAGACTGTTAGGAATTGTGGGAACTGAAGTCCAAAACACCCAGAGGGGCCAAGTTTGCCCATGCCTGGATTAGATACATACATAGACAGATTAGATACAAACATACATGCACAGATTAGTAAACAAGTAGAAACGAATAGATGCATACATACACAGATTAGATACATACACAGATTAGATACATAAATGGTTCCGGCCCAGCTTACCTGTCCGAACGCATCTCTCCTTATGAACCTTCTAGGACTCTAAGATCTTCTGGGGAGGCCCTACTCTTGCTCCTGCCGTCTTCGCAGATGTGTTTGGTGGAGACGAGAGATAGGGCCTTCTCAGCAGTGGCCCCTCAGCTGTGGAACGCCCTTCCTAGGCACATTAGATCAGCCCCCTCCCTCCTAACATTTCGAAAACAAGTCAAAACCTGGCTTTTCGAGCAAGCTTTTGCAAATGCAGTGTAACTGGCAAATTTAGACCCATGGAATGACTGGACAATGCAATTGGAAATGTTTTTAGACGCTGAGGACTTATGTGTTTACTGGTTTCATATAGTTTTATATGATATTTTATTTGTTTTTAATTTATGTTGTTGGGGGCATCGAATTGTGCCGACTGTAAACCGCCTTGAGTCGCCTTCGGGCTGAGAAAGGAAGTATATAAATACGATAAATAGGAGCCCCCGGTTGTGCAGTGGGTTAAACCCCTGTGCCGGCAGGACAGGTCACAGGTTCAAATCTGGGGAGAGCGTGGATGAGCTCCCTCTATCAGCTCCAGCTCCTCATGCGGGGACATGAGAGAAGCCTCCCATAAGGATGATAAAAACATCAATTCATCCAGGTGTCCCCTGGGCAACGTCCTTGCAGGCGGCCAATTCTCTCACACCAGAAGTGACTTGCGGTTTCTCAAGTCACTCCTGACACGACAAAAAAACCCCAACAATAAATACATACATACATACTGTGCTGTCGCACACTGGGCCTGTGCATAAGACTGTAGACAGGACATAAATTCTGTGTGCCAACGGGACGCCGGGGCTGCCTCAGATTAAAGGCCCTTGGATTTCCTTAAAACAGAGTCTTTAGATTGCTTAAAGTTTCAACAAAGTTCTTTATTAATGAAAACAAACAGGTACTTTAAAGCTTTCGTAACAGTCTATAGGCACTTTCAATCTTGTCCACAGGGAACAGGCACTATCTTCATGATTGGTATTTTAACTAATGGGGAAATCCTTAACTTCTAATCTGGGCAGTCTGTCTTTGCCTCTGATGGTGTGGAGCCCCTACACCCGGTACCAACTGCGTCTGGCTTCCGCGAGTGACCCTTACCAAGCAGAGCTTTGTAGACTTCCAGGAAAAAGGAGTTCAGGTTTCAGTGATGGCTGACTGAAGTCCCTCAGCAAAGGAGCTGTAAAGCTGTATGATCCTCGGCCAAGCTGTGGGCTGTATAACCCCGGCCAAGCTGTAGAAGACGAAGCTTCCTACAGGAGCTCTTGGTATTATGTCCTGCATGGAAAGCTGCTCTGTGTGGACTGACCCAAAAACGCTTCTATTCCCTCCAAAAACCCAAAAAGAGGGCGGGACCAGGGAACTTAACTATAATTGACAGGTGGCTTTATTTATTTATTTTATTTACTTTATTTGTATACTGCTCCTCTCAGCCCTTAGGCGACTTGGAGCGGTTAACAGCAACAGTTTCAGTATACAAAGTACAAGGTTATTGGGTATTTAAAAGCAATCACATAACAAGTTAATTAAACAGTAAACATCAATACAACAATATATCAATACATCAATATAACAAATCCATCAGATCTTTACTAATAATATAATATAGTATATTGTATATACATATAATATTTATAATATTATAATGTAATACAATATAATACTAGTAATAATAATTCAATATTATAATTATAATTATATACTTAATTACATGTAATATTACTAATAATATTACAATATAATGGTATAGTGTAATATAGTAATATATACTGATATTGTACTATGCTAATAATATAATATATTGTATGAAAATATATATTGTAAGCCGCTCTGAGTCCCCTTCGGGGTGAGAAGGGCGGCATATAAATGCCGTAAATAAATAAATAAATAAATAATAAATCCCATCACTAGAATCAGAATCCAGTCTTGTTATCCATTATTCCATGTTCTGCTAATCAATCGGTTGCACTGCTTAGTCAAATGCCTGTTCAAACAGCCAGGTCTTCACTTTCAGTAAGGAGGGGGTCGATCTGATGTCTGCAGGGAGGGCGTTCCACAGCCGAGGGGCCACCACTGAGAAGGCCCTGTCTCTCGTCCCCACCAGGCTTGCCCTATGATTGCAGCCAAAAGAAGCCACCTATCTGCAGAGCCCCTGAAACTTAGGACTATAACAAACATTCAATGCAAAGCAAACAAAATTGGAGCTCCTGGTGCAGTTGTACCTGCACACATACACACGCAGAGATTACATAAATACATACACAGATTAGAAACATACATAGACCGATTAGATGCATACATACACAGATTACATATACCCATACCCAGCTCCCTCTGCCATTCCTCGTAAGGCTTGGTTTCCAAACCAATGAAATCCCTCACTACCTCTGAGGATGCTTGCCATAGATGCAGGCGAAACGTCAGGAGAAATGCCTCTAGAACATGGCCATATAGCCCGAAAAAACGCACAAGAATCTAGGAATCAAGATTGTTCTTCACGAAAGCCTCTGGAAACTAATTGATTTTATCCAAATAGTAGTAGTAGTAGTAGTCCACAGTGCCTTTCATGTTCCTTGATTCGTGTTTGGGTGCTGCGTTTGATTGCAAAAGATTGCCCTAGGCACTGCCAGGCCATCAAATGCTAATCAAGGTGGTCAGTTGAAACATTCACACCTAGCTCCAGCAGACAAGAGTCCTTTGTCCCACCCCAGTCATTCCACACATATATAAACCCATTTTCCTAATTCCAACAGACCTCACTACCTCTGAGGATGCTTGCCATAGATGCAGGCGAAACGTGGCCCTATAGCCCGAAAAAACCTACAAGAACCGAGTGATTCCAGCCATGAAAGCCTTCGACAATAAATCCCTTATGAATGGTGTCCTTACCTTCTCCCATCGCTTCCTTTGGGACCGATTCTTGTCGCCTGCCTCTGGCATTTCAAACGCGGCGCTCATTGCCGGCAACACGATTCTCTCCAACCAGGACTAAGATGCCCTTAGCAACCGAACCACTTCCGCTCAACTTCCTCTTAGTAACCAAACCCGCCGCGCTCATTGGCCAGAGAAGAGTTGGGGGCGGGGAACGAACGAACGGGGAACGACCCGCTCAGCTTTCAAAGCAAGCCCATTGGACGCCGGGAAGCGTCAGTCATGGTGTCTGGGAGAGCGCGTGTTTCCTCCGGAAACGGAAGTTGGCTCTGTTAGCCACGCCTCTTCTTGTGTCCTTTTGCATGTCTTTCCAGGTTTCTCAAACAGAAGGCGGTAAAGAGAGAATGGAAGGGAGTGTTTCCTCTCCTTAAGGCGGGCTGAGGAGAAGCGGGACTCTTTTTCCTTCCTTCATAATTCTCGAATATGTCTCAGGAAAGCGAGCATGGGAAGTGGGCCGTCTCCAGCAGCGAGGAGGAAGATGGCGACAAGCCCTCCACTTCTTTGCCCCAGCAAACTGGCCGAGGCAAGGAAAGTGAGCCCTCTTTCCCTTGCTCAGAGGCCAGGAAAGCCGCGCTCAAGAGAAAGGCCTCCCCTTTGAAGCACCAAGATGGGGGCTTTCCTCAGGCCCCAAAGCAGAAGTCTCCTCCAGAAGAACAGGGTTGGTGCCTTTCCAGCAGCGAGGACGAGGAGGACACTAAAGGCCAGAAGGGGAAAGGAGACGCGGGAGCCGGAGCCAGGCCCAAAGAACACCGTCCTGCTCTGAAGGAACAAGGAGAAGGGACTCACAAGCCTCTCCAGAGCCAGGAGTCTTCACAAGCTCCTCAAAAAGTGCAGGACACTTGGGATCTCTTGGATGGGGAAAACCCTTTCAGGTTCTTCCTCACGAAAGTGAAAGGGATTGACGCCAAATACAATTTGGGAGCCCTCCACATAAAAGGTGAGAAATATCAAGAAATTAAAAAAAAAACCCTCTTAAAATTACAACAGCAAAACAGCAGAGAGGAAACAACCAGGCACATCTTAACACCTCTCAACAAAAGATTCCCCCAGGCTCACCCAGGCCTTCAAATTTATTTATTTATTTACTTGTATACCGCAGTTTCTCAGCCCGTAGGCGACTCAACACGGTTCACAACAAGAGCAAAAGTCAATCGAACAACATACAATATTTAGAATCAAAGAGTTGGAAGAGACCTCATGGGCCATCCAGTCCAACCCCCTGCCAAGAAGCAGAAATATTGCATTCAATTCACCCCTGACAGATGGCCATCCAGCCTCTGTTTAAAAGCTTCCAAAGAAGGAGCCTCCACCACACTCCGGGGCAGAGTTCCACTGCTGAATGGCTCTCACAGTCAGGAAGTTCTTCCTCATGTTCAGATGGAATCTCCTCTCTTGTAGTTTGAAGCCATTGTTCCGCGTCCTAGTCTCCAGGGAAGCAGAAAACAAGCTTGCTCCCTCCTCTCTGTGGCTTCCTCTCACATATTTATACATGGCTATCATATCCCCTCTCAGCCTTCTCTTCTTCAGGCTAAACATGCCCAGCTCCTTTAGCCGCTCCTCATAGGGCTTGTATTTAAAACCATTAACAGCAAATATACAAAATAATGACACATCAATAACAGCACATCCATGTCTCGTAACTAAAATCGTGATCCAATTCGTCATCCATAATTCCGTTCCTATATTCACCGTTCATTGCACTATTTATCCGAACGCCTGTTCAAACAGCCAGGTTTTTAGTTTTCTTCGAAACACCATTAACGAAGGGGCTGATCTAATGTCCATGGGAAGGGCGTTCCACAGCCGAGGGGCCACCACAGAGAAGGCCCTGTCCCTCTTCCCCGCCAGCCGTGCTTGTGATGCAGGCGGGATCGAGAGCAGGGCCTCCCCAGAAGATCTTAGAGTCCTGGTGGGTTCATAGGCGGAGATACGTTCGGATAGGTAGCTTGGGCCAGCACCGTTTAGGGCTTTATAGGCCAACGCCAGCACTTTGAATTGAGCCCGGTAGCAAATCAGCAGCCAGTGGAGCTGGTGCAGCAAAGGAGTTGTATGCTCCCTGCGCTCCGCTCCTGTTAGTAACATAGCTGCCGAGCGTTGGACTAGTTGGAGCTTCCGAGCCGTCTTCAAAGGCAACCCCACGTAGAGAGCGTTGCAGTAGTCTAAACGGGATGTAACCAGAGCGTGGACTACCGTGGCCAAATACTAATGAAGGTGGTCAATTGAAACATTCACACCCAGCTCTAGCAGAGAAGAGCTCTTTGCCCCACCCCAGTCATTCCACAGATATATAAACCCATTTTCCTAATTCCAACAGACCTCACTACCTCTGAGGATGCTTGCCATAGATGCAGGTGAAACGTCAGGAGAAAATGCCTCTAGAACATGGCCATATAGCCCGAAAAAACCCACAAGAACCTAGGAATCAAGATTGTTCTTCACGAAAGCCTCTGGAAACTAATTGATTTTATCCAAATAGTAGTAGTAGAAGTAGTCCACAGTGCCTTTCATGTTCCTAGATTCGTGTTTGGGTGCTGTGTTTGATTGCAAAAGATTGCCCTAGGCACTGCCAGGCCATCAAATGCTAATCAAGGTGGTCAGTTGAAACATTCACACCTAGCTCCAGCAGACAAGAGTCCTTTGTCCCACCCCAGTCATTCCACACATATATGTATTGGACTTCGGCTCCCAGAAATCCTAGCCAGTTTAGCAGCTGTTAGGAATTGTGAGCACGGAAATCATAACATCTGGAGAAGCACAGTTTGAGAAACACTGATCTATGGCAGGCATCCTCAAACTGTGACCCTCCAGCTGTTTTGGCCTCCAACTCCCAGAAGCCCTAGCCAGCTTGTTCAGTGATCCAGGAATTCCACGAGTTGGAGGCCAGAGTTTGAGGATGCCTGATCTATGGTGTTTGTGACTTGTCTATTTGTCAAGTTTCTATTTTGTCCTTTCTGCCATGAGTTGATTTTCTCATCCTGTTTTTATTCACACAACAGCTCTGTAGGGAAAGTCAACCTGAGAAAGAGTTGTAGGTTTTATAGTTTGATGGGTTTGAACCTGTACCTCTGCATCCTATTCGCATAACCCCAAAATGACTCTGGTATGGGTGTGTCTGCATTTATAAGAATGCTTGTTTAATCATAGGCCACTTTGTTTAATTTTAGACAAGCTGTTGAAACCTTTTTGACTTGCATAGTTTTTGGTTGTTGTTGTTGTTTTTTTTTAACTTATATGTACATTTGATGTTTTTAAAGAATCGGTGCTGTCAGCTTTTAATTTTGTAGTTCTCATGTATTTTAAAAGTTTTAACATTTGTTTTCAAGTTTGAAAGTCACCTTGGCCATTCTTTCTGGACTAAACCCAAAATAATATCAGAAATAAATGTTTTGATGCAACATCATATAAACTGAGTGCTGAAGCATAAGTTTGCTCTTCATGTTGTTGAAGGCTTTCATGGCCAGAATCACTGGATTGCTATGAGTTTTCTGGGCTGCATGGCCATGTTCCAGAAGCCAAGAAAGAATGCTTCTGGAACATGGCCATACAGCCTGGAAAACTCACAGCAACTCATTTTGTTCTTCCTTTCCTTCCCCTCTTCTAGTACGTCCACACCTAACATTAAGTGTTAGCTATGATTTATCTAAAGAAGCTACATCAGAAGTCACATTTGGACCTTGGGTTGTTCAGACCGTAAATTAAAGTTTAAATTAACTACAGTTTATTTTAGTTCAGATTAAATAACAAGATACAATTCGTTTCTGGCATCAGTAGCTTTAGTGTTGACTTTTGGATGATAGTTCAAAAACTGTTAGATACATATTTTAATGTAAAAATGTGTTTATATTTTTTTCCTAATTTTGATCATAGATATTTTGTCTCCCCTCTTTGGAACTCTGGTATCTTCTGCTCAGGTAAATTTGCATTGTAATTTTCTTTTTAAAATGTAATATAGTATTGCATATTACCTGTCAGAACTGCGAGAACTTGTGAAAGAGTCATCTGGTGATACATAACATCAGAAGTTGTGTTATGATACATTAAAAAATACCTCTATTTGGAAAAGCCAAAATATCACAAAATAGAAATGATCTTATGAAACGCTGACTTCTAGAAAACTCAAATGGTAATTAAAAGTATTGCACCAATGAGATATCTGGCTATGTTCCAAATATATGCTTTCATTTTCTTAAAGAATGAGTAAAACCGACGTGATCTATTATGTACATACTTACATATTTATCTGGTGTATGTGTCATTACAGAGGTGTTCGATTTCCTCTGAACAATTATGTACAGGTACACACACACACAGCCCATTTTTCTCCAACTTAGCTCTTCTTGCTGGAGTAGAAACCTAAACCAGAAATTTCTTTATCCTCCTAAACAAGTCAGGATTTTATAGAGCTGAATCAACCCCTTATGTGGGATCACAGCTTTTTGTGGCCCTTATAAACCAGGATCTCCAACTTGAAAAAAATGTTAATAAAATATTTACTTTCATGGGTCAGAGGTGTGGAAGGTTTAGGATGCAGACCACTTCAAAATGTAACTTTCTCCCCTTTACTCACTCAGTTATCCAATCCGCAAAAATCAACTGTATTTAATCTGATTCCTTGAACAGAAAGTGGCATTATTTCACTTCCATTTTCACAGATGGTAATGTGATCTATGGGGAAATTGTTCCTGCTCTCTCTGCAATTGTCCACTCCTGGCTTTGGTTTGTTAATCCCACCAAAATATTTATTCTCAAGATAGGATTACCTGGTTTAGAGACCTATACAAACACAGTCCTGCTTGCTTTGTTGGATTGAATTTGTATTAATTCCCCCAGTCCCTTGAAAATATGTGGATTTGGCTACATTTTTGTACGCTTCAATTCAACTCAGATATCCAGTTAGAATTACGTTAACTTATTCTTATATGTAACAACACACTAACTGTAGGTAACAAGTATGTAATTCTCTCCAGGTGAGTGACAATTTAGAAACCATGGGCCTTCCAGTCTTTCTTCAACCAGTTTGCTTGTATTCCGAATAACCATAGAAAGATAAGCCCTTCATCTGACTTGCACTTTTCTGATTCATAGAAAAGCACTTTACACAGTACACATTCATACTCTAATGCAGATATCATTGCTCTAATCAGGAAATAATGAACTTTCTAAAATGTTGAAAGATAGCATTCTAATGGAATTGGGAGATATCAAGTAGCATTAATCAGCATATATAACACAACAATTACTGCTTTGTTGAAGAAGTATTCATCCACCAGGCACATACATTTCTAATCATGTTTTTCTTCTCTCCATGACAAAGTTTAATTACTGCATAGATTTGGGATGGCTTGTCAAACAATATCCAAAGGAATTCAGGTACGTTTCTTTAGTATTTTTCAAAACTTATTCTTGATGTGCATTTGAATGAACAAAAAGGTTATTGAAACTCTGTATTTCTGATTCCCTAGTTTACTGTTGTAGTTGGTATGATGAAGGTAAACGTATATTAATTGTAATTGCTTTATAAGGTAGAAAAAAGGGATGTTGGAGTTGCAGTGACACCATGATTGTCTTTCACTAGAAAATAATTCAGCTTACTTGATATTTCAGGAACCTTGCCATGTTATTTATTCTGATATTTCTCCCACCAGTTTATTTGATCATTTATAGTATCCATGTGATATAAATGATCACTTCTGAGATTTTTTTTTCTTTTCATGCTGCCTCTTACATTCATGATAGAAGCTATGTTTTTTTTTACAAGAGAAGTAAAAGACTCACCAAGGACTGCATGAGCTGACAAAAAAAAGTTAGCAAAATGTTTCTGGCATTATATCTTCTTTCTACTATTCCCTGCCCAGGGATGTAAAGTTCCACCCTACATAGCCCTTTATCCTTAATTCTGTCGTCTGGTATCTGTACTTTATTCATTAGCCCAGTCCTCACAATTGATTTTCATCAGCCTGCCCGCCCGAGACCAGAAACTGCTACTATTTCAGGCCACTGGTTGTTGCTCAATGGTTGTTTTTATATTGTTTTATGTATCTGATTGTTTTGTATTGTTTATGATGTGTTTTATGAATTTTAATCTGTCCCCATGTAAGCCGCCCTAAGTCCCTTTGGGGAGATGGAGGCGGGTACAAAAATAAAGCTATTATTATTATTATTATTATTATTATTATTATTTCATTTTGGATTGTCTCATAGGGTTTTTATGGTTTAAAAAAGACCTTCAGAAGAGATTTGCTGTGCAATACTAAAAGGTGTGATGCCACTGCCATTGTCTCCGAGGCCCCATCTACACTGATAATTTAATGTAGTTCAAGTCTAGCTTCAAACTGCAGCATCTAGACAACAAACACTCACAAAAAGCCCTTGATTGCATATCAACACTCTGTACTGTGTGTGACCACCATCCTGGCCTCAAACTGGTTCCAGAATTTCATATGGAATCATTTGCATAGTGAAACCACTTTCTTCAATACCATTTTGGAACTAGTCATTGTTAGATGTGCCCTGAGAGATCCTCCAACATTGTCACCCTCCTGCTGCTGCTGCCTCATCACTGTTTGGCAGATTATTAACTTTATTTATGCTCCACCATTCTCCCCGTGGGGACTCAAGGCGACCAACAATCCCACGCTAGACAAATTTTAAAAGTGCAATACAAAAGTGAAAAAAATTAAATAGTAAGTGTGATAAAAGCAGAATTAAAATATAATAAATATACTTAAACTAGCATTTAAAACTCAAAGCCCCCAATCCCACCCAACCTCCACAAATACTGCTCCTTACCTTCCCTCAAATGCCTGTTGACAGAAGGTCTTGACCTGCTTCTCTGACATGTGAGACTCTTATCAGCAGCATCCTATCATAAGTGTAGTTCTTGCCTCACAAGAGCACATAATTCCATTGCTGAAGAAGAGTTATGCTATAGTGAGATGACCAGTGCTGTGGTTACTAAATTTCAGCTTAGGTGCAGTATTTTACATATAATAAATAAATAAATAAATCTTTATTTATAGACCGCCCTATCTCCCCCAAGGGGACTCAGGGTGGTTTACATACAAAAAGACAAACATTCAATGCCCAAGGAATACATTAAAGCAATAAAACATAATAGAAAATAATAGCATTGAGTTAATCACATAAGTGAATTAGACCTCAAACTGAAAAACATAAAACAGCTGATCACTATATTAGGTTTTATGAGCATAACTAAAAGTTGTTATGTCACCTGGGAGGAAAGGTGAAGAAGTTTACTGTCTGAACTTTACTTCTGTCAGCATGACGTCGAATGTTGGGCTTAAAGATATATAGGGTTTTTTTAAAGGTTTTGAGGAGTTTTTATACAGTTAAAGATAAAATTGAATAAACAATGTGGAACCAATACATAGGTTGGGAACATGCTGTCATTATAATTAAGATCTGCTAAACATAAAAGTTTGTGCAAACCTAGTCATTGGTGATTTTTTTTCTAATGAAGTACTCTCTGTTCTTAGGGAAAAACCTTTATTAGTTGTTCATGGAGAGAAAGGAGAATCCAAAGCAGAACTACAAGAAGAAAAAGGCATTTATGACAATGTCCGCTTGTGCCAGGTAATTCTTTGGTTTCCCTAAACTGACAAAAGATGAGGCATTCTGTATTGCAGTTCACCAATAATATTATACGGAAAATATAGCATTTCTGATAAGGCTATTTTTTTATCAGAAAATATTTTTATTTGATTTGATTCATTTTGAAAAGGTATTAGGAAGCTCATTGGAAATCCCATTGCAGATTTTATATTGGGCACAAAAACCTTTTCACATGCTGGGTATCATGCCAAGTTCCTATGTGCTTGTCTGAACTGCTGCTGCATTCTGAATATTATCCCTGTATTCATCAACTTTCATATAAATCCAAACATGCATATGCTTCCAGGTGTACTACATGCCCCCAATTCAGCAGAGAACATAAAAAGAAACACTACTTTTCCTTATCTGGTTTTTTTTTTCCTATGGGAACTTTCTTATCCCCTCGTTGTCGGTCATCTTCTGTGTAATGCTTGGTTTGAAAATCAGTTGGCAGTTTTTATTATTATGATACTTAGGGGCTTTCTCCAAGCTGAAGGTCCATTCAGCAATCTCTTTTCTAAATGAATTCTCCTGAAATGTTTGAAAGTGTATTTTCTCTAATTCCGGAACCTGTGAAATATGAAAAAGATTTTGTGTAGGGGTGTGTGTGAGAGAGAGAGAGAAAGAGAAAGTGTTAAAACAAGGGAAAAGGCATGTTGGGCAGGTGGAGAAAGGGAAGCCCTTTCCTGAGCAAGTCTTGAAATTGCTTTATTGTATTTAAAGATATGTAAGAACAAAATATCTGGTAGTTTTTCTGTTTCTACTATTGTAAAGGTTTACACAGTGCTGGGACTGCATATTATACATTTCTAATGTTTTTGTTTGGACCATGAATGCATTTAATTATATTTCTTTTATTAATACATATCAGTAGGGTTTTTCTTCCCTTCCTTCTCTACAGTAGCTTGTACAATATTTTTGTATAATTTGAATCCTAGGAAAATCTAGCAAGCCAATAAAAGTTGGTAAATGGTGAGCAAAATTTCTGTAGTACTTCAAATTCGAAGATGACAAATATAGTTTGGGTGAAAAATGCTTTCATGCAATTTGTGTTGAGGCCACCAGGGAGCAGTAAGCTAAAACAAAGCAGAAAATGGTTTTGTTTTTGTTTTTTCTAAAAGAAAATAGCAGTGTAACAAGTACCTTTACTGGAATTCCTTTTTATTGTAGGCAAAACTGGACATTGCGTTTGGAACCCATCACACGTAAGTAATTTATGATATCTGAGGAAAAGCCACTTTAAAAATATTCTTTTTTTCTGTAGCACCAAGAGCTAAAGATAATTCAAAATATGGCCTAGTACATGCAGATACCAACTGTTTATGTTTGTAAGTTAGGATCCAAAGAAATAAAAAAACAGTATATATGTCAAAATGGTCATTGATATCCTCCTTTTCCTTTAAGTAGCCTCATGGTGAGCCCCCAAACTTGAGAGGGGACCTTTACTGAAAGGAGATGCAGAAAAGCCACTGCACACTCAAAATATATCACGTCAGATACTATTCAAACCAGTAAAACTTGCAGTAACTAGTGGTTGGTTCAAATTGATTCTATTTAGTTCTATAGACAAAATACATATAATGTGCCTAGAGGAAAGGGCCAATATTCTGATTACAAAAGAACTGAAAATGAGCAATCTGATGCATTCACATCTCTGTTCTCTTGTTGCCACTTGAATTGACTTGCAGAAAAACCCACAATAGTGAGCAAACTAAGGTTCCAAACTCTATATTATATGCTTTTTTGAAGATATAAGCTTATATAATTTTATATCTTCAAAGGAAGCCCCGGTGACACAGTGGGTTAAACCCTTGTGCCAGCAAGGCTGCTGACCAAAAGGTTGGTGGTCTGAATCCGAGGAGTGGGATGAGCTCCCGTCTGTCAGCTCCAGTTTCCCATGCGGGGACATGAGAGAAGCCTCTCACAGGATCGTAAAACATCAAACATCTGGGCATCTCCTGGGCGATGTCCTTACAAATCGGCCAATTCTCTCACATCAGAAGCGACCTGCAGTTTCTCAAGTCGCTCCTGACATCAAAATAAAAAAAAATCTTCAAAGCAGGGAAAGTTTGGGTAAATACTGGGTTTAGGTGTTTGTTGCCAAGTTTTGGCAGCAAATCACATATGTTTTGTCCCCTCTATTTTTTCATAAGAATGCACACAAAAAAGCCCTTCAGAACTCCATGCAGGTTGATTATGTCCATCGCATCTGCTATTACCATATCTCCAAATTTGGCACCCACTGCACTAAGCGTTTCTATTCTCCATTTTTATAGCCTACTCAAAAGGATGGCATGGTTGATGAAAAGCCCAGGAAAATTTCCAAGGTTGCACTTTCTATGATTATTTTAACTAGGTCATGAAAACAGTTTCCATTGTAGATCTAAGCCAAAAGACAGACTTTGATAGATCTAGAGAGATACTACATATACTCATGTATACATCTAGACATTTTAGTCAAAAATTGACCCAATAAACCTGGGTCAACTTATCCATGTGTCAGTGTAAGTAATGTGTCTTAACTCTCATCAAAAAAAGAAACCATTTCTCTGAGTAGATCAGTAAAAGGTGAGAGATTAGTCTATCCTGGGAGAATTTTTTAGAAGCACTTACCCACTCCATCTTCTGTGTAACGCTGTGTTCCTTTGAGGGGAAGTGCCAAAGACCTGCAACTGCTGCCATTTTCCTACCCAGCTCTGAAAAAGGGCAGAAGCAGTTCCACAATGGAAAAAGTAGAGAGAATTGAATGCCAGTGAATACCAAGTACTATAGGCTATATTACATAGGAAGATATTAGAAAAAGCACCAGTGAGAATTCCTTAGAAATACTCTAGAAAATTAAAGAGGTCTCCATGAGTCAGTAAGTGAGTTAAATACACACAAAAATGTATGTGGGAAATTCTCACAAACATGTGAAATGTACAGTTGGAACTTTTGGGGTATTTGATTATGTTTTCATGTAATACTGATTGCTGTTTTTTTAAAAAGGAAAATGATGATATTGCAATATGAAGAAGGTCTTCGAGTGGTGATTCATACCGCAAATCTTATTGCTGAGGACTGGTATCAGAAAACACAAGGGTAAGAAAAAGGATTTTTAGGACTCTTGAATTTAATGACATATCTTGAAAGAAGGCAACATTCAACTAGCCACACATTGCTTAATTCTCATTTGTATTTATTTTATTTTAATTTTTTTTGTTTTAAAGATCCTTTGCCCCTTCCTCTAGTTAAATACATTGCTACATCTGTAGTAGTACCAGGAGTTCCATTGTTCCACTACACAGCAAAAACCTACTCTGGAGAGATTTGCAGTTCTTTGAAGAAGGTTTTTAGGATACACAAAGGGAGACTATAGGATGGAGAAAATACTGCTTTTTCCAGCAAAGCATCCTGTTGGATATTGGCCCTTCACTTTTATATATGCATACATATACATCATCCTTAAAAGATTGTGTACAGCCACTCACTGTTTAGAAAGATATTTAATATTATGGAACTCTTGATTGGAAAATACTTACCAACACAGGAAATATTGCTGATTCCATTGTGGTAAGAAGGATGGGTACAGCAGATATATGGTGAGGGATGGATATGAAGGATATTGGGAATCAGTAATAGCAACAGAAGATGTTAAATCTCTTGCTTTGATTACCTGAAAGAAATATTGGAAAATATTGATCAAGGTTGCCTTTTCAAGTGTGTTTTAATCTTCTAGGGTATGGCTAAGTCCTCTGTATCCAAGACTCCCAGCTGGAGCATCTGCATCTGATGGTGAATCCCATACAATGTTCAAGTCTGACCTAATAAGCTATTTGATGTCTTACAAGTCTCCTGCTCTTGGTAAATGGGCTGAAACAGTTAAACAATATGATTTCTCAGAGACAAGGTATCTGTTTTGAAATACTTCTTGAAAAACTAGTATTATTTTTATTTAGTGTTTCTTATGTAGGTATACTGTTACTTTACATATTGAAATTGGTATGGAGTGCTAGAGATGCCAGATTGTCTAATGGTTACTATAAAGGTGACATTTTTACTCACATTCTCAGAACATACAAGAAATTGAAATAAAGTATAAGCCTTTAATGAAAGGTGATGACTTTTTCTGAAAATAATTTTCTCTTCAAATGTTAAACTATTTCAGTTAGTCTGTAGGCTATGGTGTCTTTAAGACTTCTTTCTTAAATAATAAATTATATAATAATTATATTAAAGTATATATAATAATATAATATAACATACGTAAAGGTAAAGGTTTTCCCCTGACATTAACTCCAGTCATATCCGACTCTGAGGGTTGGTGCTCATCTCCATTTCTAAGCTGAAGAGCCGGCATTGTCCGTAGACACCTCCAAGGTCATGTAGCTGGCATGACTGCATGGAGTGCCGTTACCATCCCATCGGAGCGATACCTATTGATCTACTCCCATTTGGATGTTTCCGAACTGCTAGGTTGGCAGAAGTTGGGGCTAACAGCGGGAACTCAAGCCGCTCCCCGGATTTCAATTATAACACACATATATAAATATAATATATTCTATTACAACATGGATGATTTAATAATATATTATATATTACTATGCACTATAATTTCAGAACTATGTGCTTTGTTTTCGACTGCTTATTTAAATGTATTTAAATGCACAATGTAATTTGTATGGTTTTTAAAAATGTCTTAATGCGGCATTGAATTGTTGCCAATTTGTAAGCCGCACTGAGTCCCCTTCGGAGTTGAGATAGAGTGGGGTAAAAATACAGTAAAAAAATTCTTCTTTCTAATGTTCTTCAAGAATGCACTTTGGTGAAAACATACTGATTTATTATTGTCTTGCATAGATGCACTCAATATATGTCTTTTATTTTTGGTAGGGTATATCTTATTGGCTCAACTCCAGGTCGATACCAAAACAATGACAAAGAGAAATGGGGTCATCTTAGACTTAGAAAGGTATTGGATTTTTGTGTCACTTGTCTTCTCTTTGGCTTTCTTACCTTTTTTCCTGCTTTTGATAGAATCAGAAAGTTTGCAGTGCAATCTGAATATGGTAAATCTATTGTTGGAAGATTTTGTACTAGCTGATCATCCAGCCTTTTTTTAAAAACTGATAAAATAGACTCTTTCTTCATTGGTCTAGAAACTCATATATGCAGGAAATTATTTCAAATGGTTAGTAAAATTCATTTCCTATGAATCCATTTGTTCAGGGCTTGGACAATTGGATTCATAGGAACCCTGGAGAAAAAAAAGGTAATTTTCTCCGCAACGTGACAACTCTCTTCAGATATTCGAGTATCATTATCCTACAGCCTTTTCATCTTCTTATATTCAGGATAAATACACATATATTCTTCGACTTTTCTTCAAAGGAATTAGTATCTAGGATGATCTTTTCCTAAGCCTCTTCCATTACTTCCCAGTTCAATGTATTGTCGAAGGCTTTCATGGCTGGAATCACTAGGTTCTTCTAGGTTTTTTCGGGCTATAGGGCCATGTTCTAGAGGCATTTCTCCTGACGTTTCGCCTGCATTTATGGCAAGCATTCTCAGAGGTAGTGAGGTCTGTTGGAAATAGGAAAATGGGTTTATATATCTGTGGAATGACTGGGGTGGGGCAAAGAGCTCTCTGCTGAAGCTAGGTGTGAATGTTTCAGCTGAGCACCTTCATTAGCATTTGAAGGCCTGGCTGAGCCTGGGAAAATGTTCTGTTGAGAGGTGTTAAGATGTGCCTGGTTGTTTCCTCTCTGCTGTTTTGCTGTTGTAATTTTAGAGTTTTTTAATACTGGTAGCCAGATTTTGTTCATTTTCATGGTCTCCTTTCTGTTGAAATTGTCCACATGCTTGTGGATTTCAATGGCTTCTCTGTGCAGTCTGACATGGTGGTTGTTGGAGTGGTCCAGCATTTCTGTGTTCTCAAATAATATGTTGTGTCCAGGCTGGTTCATCAGGTGCTCTGCTATGGCTGACTTCTCTGGTTGAAGTAGTCTGCAGTGCCTTTCATGTTCCTTGATTCGTGTTTGGGCAATGCTGGGTTTGGTGGTCCCTATGTAGACTTGTCCACAGCTGCATGGTATATGGTAAGACTTCCCAGTTCTTTGGTACCACTAGAATCCATTAAAAACAAAAAGAGATGTCTTTCTTGAATTGAACCCTAATATAAATCATTTTTATTCAAGTGTTGATACAGTACCTATATAATATTTAGGGTAAGGATTATCTTTCATTAGGAAGATTTGAAGCATTATTATCATTATTATTATTTCTCACCCGACTCTCCTCATGGCTCGAGGTGGGTTACAAAATAATTAAAACACATAAACATTGTAAAAATACCACAAATACACAGATTAAAATGTTTTTCTATAAAAGATACATATTAAAACATATTTCTAAATATTATACATTAAATTGTAAGACTTTGTAAGTTACATTTTTAAAGGTGTCAGTTTATAATGTACCTTAGAATCCCCCCCCCCCCCCCCCCCCCCCCCCCCCAAATTTAAGTCTGGTGATTAGGAGAATTGTTTAATTAGTAGCTAATATCTGTTTGTATTCAGAAGCAGCAATGTATGCAAGATAGAACACTCTGTTCTGGTCAGGTTCAATTGATAACATTTGGTTACTTTTGTTTCATTTGTCTCAAAACAGCTGTTGAAAGACCATGCGATGCAAATACCTGATCAGGATTCATGGCCTGTAATAGGACAATTCTCTAGTATTGGATCATTGGGAGCCGATCAGTCCAAATGGTTGTGTTCAGAATTCAGAGACAGTTTTACTTCACTTGGAAATGGCAAGAAGGCTCCAACTAATCGTGACATCCCCATTCACTTGGTATTGTATTCTTTATATGTTTTGTTTTAAGAAAACATGTAGGAGCATAAATACTACTACTGTCATGCTTGCTTAAATCTTACATATAGATTGATTTCAAGGCTTCAGCTAAAACATTTTCTAGAGCTAAACAGAGACCATTATTTTGGACATTTCTATGTCACTAAAAGACATATTGAGGTAAAATTATTGGAACACTTTTGAAAAATTGTTTTGATCCTTGGAAGAGTCAGATGTGCTGGGAAAGCGCTTTGCAACACCTATGACCAATTTTAAAATGGAAAATTGTTTTGGAGAGGCATAAAAAGAGGCCTGGGGGCGGGGAGAAGGGCGGGGTAGAAATGCATGAAATAAATAAATAAATAAATAAATTTAGCCCACCTCTGGTTTGAGAAATGTGTTACAATAGATCTACTCCTATTTGCAACTGTGGTTCCAGAAAGTGCCATTGTGGTACTTCTATTTTATTTACTGTATTTTTATCCTGCTCTATCTCAACCCCAAATGATTCAATGCCACAATAAATGTAAACATACATTAAAATCAATAAAAAACACAAAATCAAAGCATATCAATACATTAAATAAGCTGTTAAAAACATAACGCAAATACCCGAAATCGTAACCCAGGAGCCATTCCAATCATATTACAATCACTTCATAACTGCCTATTGCATTGTACTACTCTCCAAACACTTGGTTCTATAGCCAGGATTTAACTTTTTTTTTCTCTAAAGTATAGGAGGGAGGGAGCCAATCTAATTTCACTGGGGAGTTCCCAGTGAAATACTAAACGGGAGGCTGCCACAGGGTTCCATCTTGTCTTCCATGTTGTTCAATATTTAAATGAAACTGCTGGGTGTCATCATTAGGAGTTAGGTCCTATTGGTATTATGCTGATGATGCTCAGCTCTACTACATATAATCAAGAGTCAGTTAAGGCAGATGCTGGAGTAATGCCTAAATGTTGTAATGTGGTGGTAGAGGGCCATTAAACTGAAGCTGAATTGCAATAAGATGGAGCATTTGGGGATTGCTGGTTTTCAAGTCTGAGAATTGGATAATCTATATCCCAAGGATTGGATTGCATTTTCCGTAACAGTGCAAATAATAATAATAATAAACAACTTTATTTATAACCCGCCACCATCTCCCCAGAGGGGACTCGGGGCGGCTAACATGAGGCCAGGCCCAAAATAATACAACCTAATAAACGCACAATAACGAAATACATCATAACAAAATATGAAATGACAAATAAAATCAACAATATAAAATAACAGGATAAAATCAGACAAAAAAGGATGGGCCAAATGTATGAGGTAAAATGTTAAAAAGTTAAAACCCTGGGTGAGATAGGGATGAAAGTGCATTTGTAAGAGAGGAGCCCAACAGGAAGGAGCAGTGGGATTTAACCATTTTGGGGGGCAGGGGCAGGTGCTTTATTATGAGGGCAGCTATAGGTTAAAACAACCAAATGGGTTGAGTGGCTAGAAGTACTTGTGGCTCCATTTTTGTCACTTGATGCCCAGGTGGACTCTGCCTCGCATTTAGTTGTCTGACAGCCAAAGTCTTTTGTGGACAGAGATAATTTAGCACCGGAACCACCCCAACATCAAGGCAAACTGAGGCTTTTTATTAAAGTGTTCAGGCTTAATTAATTTTATCCAATTTACACATATGCTGTGGTTGGCATTATTTTAAATGGTTTTAACTCATTTTGAAATATTTTATGTCTTTTTAAATTAATTGTAGGTTATTTGGTTTTTTTAAATTCATTTTGTTGTAAGCCTCCCTGAGATCCTTGGTTATAGAGCAAGGCACAGTTACAGGGAGGCCTTGCACTCTTTTAAAAAGGTGAATAGCTAGTCCCTGAGGTTTCTAGAAGAAGGAGCCCCTTTTCTCCAGCCTGTAAAAATTACTATTCATGGGTAACTTGCCCATCCCGAAGCAAAAACTTCCTATTAGCAAATTGCATTCAAGTCACTATAACTCCCTGCTGATGTGCAGTTACCATTTTGTCTACTGTTTTATTACTACATGTTTTTCGTTTAGGTTTATCCAACTGTGGAGAATGTGAGACGGAGTTTAGAAGGTTATCCAGGTAAAAAAAATACATTCTAATGTATTTGTGGAATATTATTTGTTAGACTAAACAAGCACTTTCTTGGAAATAGTTTCTAAATGTCTTATGGTGTTCCGAGTTTTCAAAAATCATTGATTTGATCTTGGAACAAGAGACACCAGGTGGCTCATACATGAAAATGAATTGGTTGCACTCAGCCTATAGAAAATTCTTTTAAAAGGCTGAAATGTGAAGCACTTGTGAAAATGCTTTTAAACAATTGTTCTTTCTTTGTTATGGTGGGAAGAGTGTTGGATTTTTTTTCTTGCAGTGGAAATGTTGTGATTAGAAAGTGATTTGCCTGTTCATTGTTTAGCAACATATAATTTCAATTGCATTTAAATATAAGTAAGTAATTAATCATTACTTTGTCTTTAAGCTGGAGGCTCCCTTCCTTACAGTATAGAAACAGCAAAGAAACAGCTTTGGCTGCATGCTTATTTTCAGTAAGTGAAGCAATATATTTGTATTTAAGAAAAGCCTAACATATTTATTTAAACATCTGTATAGCTATCACTTGTTACAAACCTAGTTGATTTTGAAAAAAAAATGATGTCCAGTATGTCATGTCATAATAAATATGTTCTTTAACCTTAAAGGTTATTATGACATTACTGGGTATCATTTTTTCAAAATTAACTAGATTTGTAACAAGTGATAGCTATACAGTAGGCCTGGGTAACAACAGAAAAATTTGTTTCTAAAATCGATTCGTTTTTTGGGGGTTTTTGCGTTTCGTTATTTAAAATAATTACAAAATTTTCCTTTTAAAAAGTTCGATATTTACGAAATTTCGTAAATGTGAAAAAAATTACAAAACATTAATGAATCGATTTCCGAAACAATAACGAATCGATTCGTTAATGGCGGACGCGACCGCGAAATACGCTAAAAAACCTCCAAAAACTTCTGAAGCTTCCCTCTCCCTCTGTTGTTGACTGTTGGTGTGATATTATAATTTTTTTCACTAATTAAACAAAAAACAACCATAAAACTTGCCCCAGACATGCGGAAATAATAACGAAACGACCTCAAAACAATAACGAAACGAATACAATAACGAGATACGAAGCATTTACAAAACTATTTAAAAATTCGTTTTTAAGAAAAAAATGCCCCAGAATGGTTCGTTATCGTTTTGTAATTAAAAAAATTAACGAATTATTAACGAATTACGAATTAACGAAACGAAACCGCCCAGCCCTACTATACAGATGTTTACATGTTGATCAGATAAACTGTAGAATGTTTATTTTTTAAAAACTCATTTAAATGTTGAATTTCCAAAAATGGAGATGTTATTTCCATTTTATTGTGTGCTAAGATCCTGATTTGAAAAATGTGTAGCCGGTTGGACAGGTCATATGCCAAGTCATTCCACGGAGACAGTGAGCAGTAGTCTTCCTATATATGTGTATTAACGGAAAGAAGACTGGTAGGGTAAAGAGGTATGCTAAAGTAAAGGGTAAAGTTTCCCCTTGACATTAAGTCAAGTTGCAATCAAAATATGCCTCATAATAGCTGGCCAGAATCCAAAGAGGGGACACAGAGAACACTGTAAACACCTGGAGTGCTGAAATTTGTCCATACTTGCTCTGGAACCTTCAATGGATACCAAAATCCATGAACACTCCAATCCCACTATATTTAGAGATGTAGTACAATAATGCCCCTTATATTAAAAAGACAAAATCAGGAATTGCTTTTGGGATTTTAAAGACAGAATTTCAAGCCATGGTTGGCTGAATTCGTAGATATGGAAACCATGGATACAGACAGTACTGTGGAGCTTTGTTGGGGCTTGTACTCTAGGGATTGTTTGCAGGTTGCGCTTTGTACAGTATGGAGGAGGAGGAATAGAACAAAGTTGAAAACGGTCCTTTAAAAAAACCTAATTCTGTCCATGGCTACCACATGTGAGCAATATGAGTTTACACAAATATTAGATATGGGTTAACAGACAATGCCACTCCTTTTTTTATCTATAGCAAATGGTCGGCTGAAACGTCAGGACGTAGCCGTGCAATGCCACACATTAAGACTTATATGAGAGCATCTCCAGACTTCCAGAAGATTGCATGGTTTCTAGTTACAAGGTAAGTTTTCTATCTTTGTCCTTTTTGCCCAATAATGCTACTTCTGTAATCCTTATGTCCTCCATGTAACTACATGAGGAGTGAGGCACCAGCACTCCTCGGCAGAGAAAAACTCTTTGGCTAAAACCTTTGTAAAATACAACTCACATGATTCAATAGCGTTGAGCCATGGCAGTTCAAATAATGTCAGACTGCATTAATCCTACTGTGTAAATGCACCCATTATATTATTTTGGCATGAAAACGAAAACACTGAATTCCCCAAAAGCCATATTCGGCACTCTATAATTTTACTATGGACACACCTGAGTGCAAGTTGTGTCCACCTAACAGAACTACCATTTTCCTCTCTCTTTAGTGCCAATCTTTCCAAGGCTGCTTGGGGAGGTTTTGAAAAAAATGGCACCCAGCTAATGATCCGGTCCTATGAGCTGGGAGTTCTCTTCCTGCCATCGGAATTTGTAAGTTCATTAAATCCATTTTCATGTTTTGTCAATGCAGTCAGAATTGTTTTGTTTATTTGCTTTGCAAGAAAAAAAGCTGTAATGAGAAAACATGTTTCTTTTCTGGAAGATAGTAGCAAAATTAGCTTTTTTCTATACACTTTTTATTTCTTAGAAAGGTTAAGTCTAAATCCAGTAGAGTTCTTAGCACCAACTATTGTTTCTATGGAACCTAAATGCTGACTTATCAATTTCCCATTGCTTCAATTGGTCTAATCTAGTTGGGATTAATTTGGGCTGCAGTTATTGGGATCAAGTAGGATCTGTTAATGATGGTAAGCGAATGTAATTCTAGACTATCGCATAGTATCATGATAGGCTACAGATATTCCTCAGTTAGGTCCTGGGCATTACTTTAATCAGAACTAGGACAGAAATAAGAGAGAATTAACAGAGGCAGTTCCCTACACTGCTGAGAAAGGAGGGCAATTCAATGTTTCAGGGACTTTTTTATTCAGAATTAACACTCATGCATGTGTGAAATTAAAAAAGCAGGGGAAGTAAGCTTTGAGTAAGTAAACCAAAAACACTTTGAACCTTCTGCAGACTACTTGAAGGCTTCTTCCAAAATGCCTTCAAGAGGTCTGCAGAAGATTCAAAGGGTTTTACCAAATAGCATCTCACTGTAGGAATCTTAAGTAATCATGGTTCTGTAGGGCTTCTGTTGAAAGACTCAAGCTGAGTCACTTAATCTGCTCTTTTGGTTCCAGTAAACTTTTGTTAACAATCTAAAGGGTTACTCTCCTATGTGATTGATCATTAATTATAAGGAGTTGATTCACAACTACAGTTTAAGCCTGATGGTTGTAATCGTTTGGGCTAATGCTTCTGTGAGGTTTTTACTGAGTGCAAGAAACCCTGTTTCTTTTGGGAAAATGGCATTCATAACCTTATGAAAAGGAAAAATAATGTCACATCCTTTTGGCAAATGTGAATCTCCAAGAACATCTGGAGACGACCTTTTGAAAACCACTAGTCAAGGAAAGGCATGACCTTGTTAGAAGTCAGCCTTTTAAAAAAGTGATGTTCACAAGCATTCATGTTATGGCACACAGGTAAATCAGCTGTTAAACTGATAAACCATATCTTTGAACTGCCAGGGACAAAGACATGCCACTGCACAAAAACATATACTTCGCTATCAAAGTTTTAAAATGTTTCTTTGAAGTTGATATTGCAGTTGCAGTTACCCCAAATATAATATACTCTCCCTTAAAACCTCTTAGTTTAAAATATGCACTTGGAGACAAAAAAAAACCAAATTATTCTTTTAAAGGTCATATATCTTGCTTACTCATAAACATCTTTTATTAATTCAGCATGCAGGCACATGTATAGATAGGATGTAGTTTCTCTGTGTTGAGAACACAGGGCATCATTCTTAATCAATAGTCCAAAGTCTTTAAGTATACATCTTATGAAAGTCCAAACTCACTGCTTCTCAAAGCAAACATATAGTAAAGTCCAAATGACATCTACTTCTATTAAAGTCCAAAAGCATACTTAATTCACCTCCACTGAGGTCTAAAGCAAACAAAACGGAGTCTTGAGTCTGAACATGCTCAGTACAATCACATGTCTGTAGCCCCTCCCACACCAAAGAGGTCAGTCAAACTGAAAAATATATACATACAATACGGGTTCACAAATATATACATTAACAAACAAATAGTGAAGGTTTGGAAAGTTGCTATTTCCAACAGTTTCTCGCCTTGCATCCTCAAAAGCTTTCATAAAAAGCTTACCTCCCAGAAGTTTAATTAAATGAGGCACATCTGTTTTTTGCACTGTGCCTTACAAGTAGTATTCTTTCTGGGTTTTTTAATAAATTGAATATTTTGTCCAAATCTTAAATGGTAATCAACTTTTACTATTATTAGTAAAAGGAAAACGGACATAAACAAAACAGTCTGAAGTTTGGTGGTAGAAGTGGCAGCATTTTGTCTGGGTTCAGAATAAACACTGATAAAAGATTGATCGTAATGCTTTTTCAGATATTTCCAGTAGATACATATGTTTCATAAGTGTTTGAGGGTAGCATTCAGGAAGGAGAATCATATTTCTACTTGAATGTTCTTTTACTGGAATTTCTGACTATCTTGTTGGATCTTACACCAAATGCCCCATTTTAGCATTATCGTCATCCAGAATATAAGGGTTGAAATTAGAACATTTTGTGGTAAGAATAATTCCATTCAGAAGCTGTCTTATTTTGTCTTGATATGGCAAAGACAACCTGCTTTGTCTTGGTATCACTTTGAACAACTAAAAATAAACTTTAGAGTCCAGATTCCTGCAGTATGAGCTCACAAAGAATACAAAAGCATTCACTCCCACTAGTTTTCTCTCTAAAAATGTAGGTCTCCACAGAGCTATCACTCTTGGCAGGTTTAAATGTTCTTTTATTTCAGAACAAAGATATTGATTCCTGAAATTAATTTTCTATAATGCATTCATTAGAAACACTCTTAATTTGTGTAAACATGAAAAATATGTTCATGCTTCAGTGGAATAATAATGGGCAGGTTTGGTGCTTCATGCATTTGCCTCCATCTGAACATGAGGAAGAACTTCCTGACTGTGAGAGCCATTCAGCAGTGGAACTCTCTGCCCCGGAGTGTGGTGGAGGCTCCTTCTTTGGAGGCTTTTAAGCAGAGGCTGGATGGCCATCTGTCAGGGGTGATTTGAATGCAATATTCCTGCTTCTTGGCAGGGGGTTGGACTGGATGGCCCATGAGGTCTCTTCCAACTCTTTGATTCTTTGATTCTATGATTCTATAGGTTAGATAAAAATGCAAATGATTAAATGTGGAGATGAGAGCCAAAATTCCCATTCTCTTTTTTATGTAGCTATTTAATGTTTTTCAAAACATACGTACATTTTGAAGCAGTATATGGCACGTTGGTGATGACAGTTTTTATTAATGAGACAAAACACACCCCTTGTTATCATAGAATCCTGGAATAATAGAATTGGACGAGACCAAATGGGTCATCTAGCCCAGCCCCCTGCCATGCAGGAAAAGCACAATCAAAACATTCCTGAAAGATGAGTAGCTATAAGTAGAATCCTGGGATAGAACACCTATTTTTTACAGACACTCACACTGAGAACCTTTATGTTGAAATCTGTGATAGTCCAAGCATTCAGACACATAAAAAACTTATTCATTATGGCTTTCCAGTCTCTTTGTCCATCTTTTTGCCTTGTTGATAGTTGAAAAAACTTTAAAAAGCAAGAAGTTCAACAGAAACATACCTCATTAATAAGCCTCTGAGAAAGAAGCCCCATAAGTCTTTTGGTCCTCTTTTCCTCTGTCTAGCGGGAAAGTTTTAAGCAGCATTGGCATCAGGAAGTTGGTGAAGTAGAGCTGGAGAAACACATACCTCTGGTACAGCAGCATGTTCCCTGTGAACAATGCAATAAAGCTTGAGCTGATCCTATTGGTGCTTCATGCATTTGCCTATAACAGATACACAGCTGCTGTCTCCAGATTCCCTTATTGAAAATGTGTGAACCATAAAAGACAGAGAAAGGGGAAGTGCAGATAAGCCGGCCTCACTAGCATTTTGAAATATATAAATCTGTAAATTAGGCTGGCAGAATGTAAGTCGTAGGAAGAGTAAAACTGATGAAAGAAAGAAAAAAACATGTTTTTCTTTATTCGTGCAAGGATGCCCTGGTCTGGTTACTAATTTTACATGTGAATTTTGAATGAAACTTTTTTTGCTAAAATATGTTCAAGGAAAGGCTTTCATTTCTTAAGAGGCCATTCATTTTCTAAACTGATTGTTTGTAAAATAAATGACCAAAGACCAGCCAAATTAAAATTGAAGCAATTTAATTTTTCCAGATGGATAGCCCTGGGAAGCACTTATAGATATGTGTACAGCCACATGTAATAATTTGGGCTTTTAAGGATAACCCAAACAGCAGGGCCTGTAAGAGCTATTAATGTGCAGCAGACCCCAGAGGGCACTCTGTGCACATAGAAAGCATGTGAATATTGCCCAGAAAGGCTGTTCAATTTGATTTCTAGTTCCTTACATATACTCTATTCATCCTTTAGAAGCAGCTGGTAGTATGGCATGAGGGATGACACAAGAATAAGGATGTATTACATAGTGGAGATCTAGAAAATCTCCTATGCTTGTATGGCTTTCTGGATTTAAATCATTAAAAGGTACATTGCTAAAGCAGTTCATAATTCCAGGAAGTTATTTAATTGAATGACCTGCTTCTGTTTGAACAAGCAATTGCAACTGTCAGGTAAGTTTAAGACACCAGTTCATGAAATCACAAAAACTGAATAAATCTGGCTTTGTGTTTGCTGTTTTTCTGTCTTGATTGTTTGGATTTATAGCCTTCCTTTCTCCCAGAATAGGATTCAGGCCAGCTTACACACACTACGGGTTTTTTTTAATAAAGCAGAATCTTCCCCATCTTCATTTTTCACAGGGCTTGAATTCGGGGTACTTCCAAGTGAAGGAAAGTATGTTTTCTGATGAGCCAGCTTCATCATTTCCTGTACCATATGATCTGCCCCCAGAGAAATATGAGGGCAAAGGTAAGATGTCCTGTAATGTAAGGGGAAAGATTCATTCCATTCTGTCTCCTTCTGTCATGAAAATAAAAGCATTGGGTACTTGGTAGAAAACAAGATAATTTTACTGGGTTGCTGTGAGTTTTCCAGGCTGTATGACCATGTTCCAGCAGCATTCTTTCCTGACATTTCACCCACATCTATGGCAGGTGTCCTCAGGGGTTATGAGGTCTGTTGGAAACTAGGCAAGTGGGGTTTATGTATCTGTGGAAGGTCCATGGTGGGAGAAAGAACTCTTGTCTGTTTGAGGCAAGTGTGAATGTTGCATTCGACAACATAAGATCATTTTAGCTGCTGTGGGACACATAGGGACATATTGTTGTGGTTGCCCCAAAAGAGACCAATATGAGCTTCACAGGTGCAAGAGGCTGAAAAAGCAATCCTAGCCCACCCAGTTGGCTCAGGTTGTTTAAAAACTTCATATGAGCCTGCCAGTTTGCCTAATTGGTCCATTTACAATTCGGGCTTTAGCACGGGAGGTTAATTGCCAGCTGCAGTAAATGTTGCCAACTGAAAGGCTGACAGTTCGAAGCCCATGTCAGGGTGAGATCTTGTCCTTTAGCCCAGCTTCTGCCTACCTAGCAGTTTCAAAAACAGCAATGTGAGTAGATAAATAGGTACCGCTTAATCAGGGAGTATTTAAGGCACTCATAAGGAAATGCCAGAAAGAATGCCAGTGATTTGATCAAGGGGGAAGTTTACGAACAAAGCTCTTTGGCAGGAAAAAGTGCAGTGACAGCACCCCCTTGCCCTGGACCGAGCACAGCCTCCAAGATGCCGAAGATGGAAAAGCCTATATATACCTCTATCTATATACAGTTGTCTGTCCTATCAGTGTATAAAGGCATTGCATGTTTGCCATATACGTGTTCTGTGATCCGCTCTGAGTCCCCTTCAGGGTGGTACAGTGTGGGGGTCCAAGGAGGCCAATATGGTTTGCTAGCCTTCCCCAGTAATCTACCCCTGATTTATGCAAACTTCAGTAGTGCCTTAGTAGATTGCTACCCACTATTCTATTTGTAGGAGTGAACACTGCTAGCCAGAAAGAACTTCAGTTGCTTAGCCTTCCATTTCTTATTGATGAGAGAAGCTAACTCACTTAATGTTTTCTTCTTAGTATTGTAAATCTCTTAAGTTCAGAAATTGGTCTGTCAAGGCTTTGTCACTTTCTATATCATTGCAAATTGCTGCATTTGAAGGATACATAATTTCTTGTGCATTTATGTTGTTTTTCTCCTACACAGAGAACAGCTCTCTATTCAGCCTGAAATAATCAAATGTCACTTGGTTCACTGCAATTGATTAATATATATAAGATGAAATTATATGTCAGTTATATGACTGACTACCAGTACATTTTCCTGCAAAAGCAAAAAAGTTATTTTCTTTTCTCTCTTTGAAATTCTGCACGGGATTTAGAATTCTGATGGTAGGTGGTTTTTCAAAGGCTGTTATATGAAAATGAAAGATCCCTGGAGGCCTCAGACAGGATTGTTTGTAAGAAAAGGCTTTGATTACTACCATTTCATTTTCCCAGTGCTACTATTGGTTTCCAAGAAATACATAGTTTTCAGACGGTCACAGGACTTTACACTGTGAAGTGTCCCAAGAATTCTGGAGTGTACAATTCAAGCAAAGTATATTATTGTTAGTCTGAGGTGTTTTATATGGCAACCATTTTTTAAAAAAAGCAAAAGGATCACTGAGATGTTCCCCAGATTGACAGTAAAACACAATATGGTGGATCATCAGAAATATAGGTGAATGATAATGGACAAAACCTTGACCTAACAATAAAAACAAATACTGTGACAGTGCAATGTTGGGCTCAAATATACCTGGAACATGGAAAACCAAAAGCAAGACAAAAATTTGCGTAATTAAATTATGTTTTCCCCACTGACAACTTTCCTTTAATAAAAAAATAACAGCACATTTGAAAAAAAGACTCATCAGAGTCAATAATACTCCATGGCATAAAATGAAGTATTTACTAGAATCTAGTTGAGCACTTAAAATACGTGTAATAAATTATGTCATTAACATGCATGTGCCTATTTTGTGTGTGTGTCAGGAGCAACTTGAGAAACTGCAAGTCACTTATTGTGTGAGAGAAGCTGGGAAGCTGGAGCTAACAGATGGGAGCTCACCTCACTCCCCAGATTTGAACCTACCTTTAACCTGTGCCACTGGGGGCTTCTCTGTGCCTAATTATAAGTCAAAATGGATTTTAAGATGAGGATCACTTGCCTTTGTTCCAAACCAGTAGGCTAGGCTGAATACCTTCACACATGCATCCAACCATACCATGACCAGATTCATATTTCTGTGCCAAATGATGAGAAAGCTAGCATTCTTTTTCTCAGCAGTGAACACAGAAATGCAGCAGGTTGCTGCTGAGGAAATCTGATCATTTCCTCAGCAATTTATTTATTTCATAAATAAATAAGTTAGCAATGATTCCTCCAGTGCAGTAAAAGTGAAAAAAAAAGCTTGGAGACAGGAGGGTCAAACTTCCTCTCCCTCTTAACCATTATGTTGATTAGTGGGAAGAAGATGAGTAGGAAGGCAGCCAGGCCACATCAGTGCATACAAGAGGTTTCTTCCTGCCAAGTGACTGTTATTCGAACATTTTATTTATTTATTTAAAGCATTTATATTCCGTCCTTCTCACCCCGAAGGGGAGTCAAGGCGGAGCACAATATATAAATGGCAAACATTCCATGCTGAAACTTACTAGACTATACATATACAAAAACATTAAAAGCACTTACCTTGACGTTAAAATCCTCTGTTTAAAACTGTCTCAAACAACCATATTGAATCTGGTTGGCATACTAAGCATTCCTATCGTAGCAATGACTCCAGGAGGACTCCCAAGCTGCGAACCTGTGCCTTCAAAGGGAGCGTAACCCCATCCAGCACAGGCTGTAACCCTATATCCTGTTCAGCCTTGTGACTGATGAGGAGCACCTCTGTCTTGTCTGGATTCAACTTCAATTTGCTTGCCCTCATCCAGACCATCACAGCAGTCATGTTAATAAGTGCTGTAATTAGTGATTCATCGTTTTTCATATTCTAATCTATGCAATCCAAAGGTTTTTTGTATATATAATTTATAAAACAAGGTTGATTTCCTTCTACAATCTTTCAGTGGGTTGCCTTATCCAATTAATGTTTGCACCCCTAGCACCCCTTCCTTTTTTGAACTCAGCTTAAAATATCTGGCATTTCTTCTGTATTCCTTGTTCTGTGAAAGTCTTTGTTGCATAATTTTGAGTGTAACCTTGCTTGCATGTGAGACAAATGCAGTAGTCTAATGGTAACTGTAATGTGAGGTATCCCCTTTTTGGAGGATTGGAATGTCTGTTGTTCATACCAAAGGTTGTGGTTGAACTACAACTCACATCATGCCAGGCTAACCACAAAAATTCCATCAGTATTTAAAGTTTGTTATGTTGGGCAAGTTTGCTCCTACCACCAACCTGCACAATTCCTTCGATCCTCTGGGGAGGCCCTCCTTTCGCCTCTTCCTTTATCACAAGCAAGACTTGTGGGAACGAGGGAGAAAACCTTCTCCGCTGTGGTCCCCTGACTTTGAAACTCACTACCTGGTGAGATTAGGCAAGCCCCCACCTTTGCAGCCTTCAAAACAAATTGAAAACTTGGCTCTTCCGATGTGCCTTTGGAGAGTGACCATTTATCCCATTTCTGCTTGCTCCATCTATAGCATTGCCCCTGTGATGCACTTTCCTCCGTCCTAAACTGAAAGCCTACCCCACTGTTCATTCTTTTTGGGCTCCCCTCAATTACATATTTTCTCTCCTACCTAACCAAGGGTTTTATCATTTTACCTCGTTTATTTGGCCTACCCATTCTGTTCGATTTTACATTGTGTTTATTTGTTTTATTTTGCTACTGTATGTATTTTACTCTGATGTAATTTTTCGTTGTCTGCATTCTGTATTTTATTTTGCTGTATTGTATCTTTGGGCTTGGCCTCATGTTAGCTACCCCAGGTCCCATTTGGAGAGATGGTGGCGGGGTATAAATAAAGTTTTTATATATATATATAAAGTACAGCTCCCACTATGGTGAGTCTGTTCCCTCAAACCCCTCCAGTAGTTTGAGTTAGTCATGGGGGTTCTGGGTGCCAAGTTTGGTCCAGGTCCATCATCAGTGGAGGTCACAATTTCTCTGGTTGTGGGTGAACTACAACTCCTAGAAAGGAAGGTCAGTTCACACCAAACCCCTCCAGTAATCAAATTTTGGCATATCAGGTATGTATACCAAGTTTGGTCCAGATCCATCAGTGTTTGTGTTCACAGTGCTCTCGGGATATAGGTGAACTATAACTCTCCCAAATAAAGGTGAATTTTCACCAAAAACCTCAAGTATGTTTTGTTGGTCATGGGGGGGTTCTGTGTGCCAAGTTAATTTCAGGTCAATTGTTGGTAGAGTTCAGAGTGCTCTTAGATTGCAGGTGAACTATACATCCCAGTACCTACAACTCCTATAAATGATGGTGAATTCTCCTCAAACCTAGATTTCAGTTGCTGATCAATTCCTCTGTTTGAATAAGAAAGGGTTAAGGGAGAGGCAGTGGGTAGGGTCATGCAAATTCCACACCAGTGGAGAGAGTAAGAAACACTGGGATGTCTGTGGAGGAAACACATAAAATCTAGGATGAAATTGTCCCTGTATGAAAGCCTTCACTTGGGTGGTGGGCAGTGTTGTGTTTGTGGAGGGCATTGGCAGGGCTCTTGGAAATGTTCATAGCGCTCACTATAACCTGCAGTGTCAATAAGGGAGGGCCTTTGGTGTCTCCTTAGTAGTGGGAGCTATAGCTGTTTGTGGAGGCAGGAGCTTGTCTTTGTTAGTGGACACCCCAGCCACACACACACATACATGTTTTCACTTTTATTATGTGTATAGATTTGAGTGGATTCTATCTCTGTAGCTTGAAGTAGCTCTATTCATAAGCAGTCTATCTTTGGTAATTTATTTTTCCCAAGTGCTTTGAGGGCAGCTTCCACTTCACTTTCTAAAATTGTGAATTCATCAACAATGGATTCTTCCTTGAAAAAAATTGCCATCTTTTCATCTCTTTTATATAGTTTTTAATGTATTACTTCTCTTTTTTTTTCTTTTCTTTTGATGTAGTGTTGGTCCTGTAGCAACCCTACTCTTGATTTAAATTTCCTGATGATTTTTTGACTTTTGTCAAAAGGTCTCTTGTTCTACAAGCTGTATTAAGAGGTATTCATAATTTGTTCAAAGTAATAATGCACACCACTAAAGGACAGATAACCAGTGGAAAAATAAAACACTTGTGATTATCAAGGTCTAGTTGCAATCTAAGAATGATATTTGCAATTTAAGTTTTCATTCAGTTTTCTTTATACCTGTAATATAAAGTTTTCTTCATAATTGCAGATCGGCCATGGATTTGGAATATTCCCTACACAAGAGCTCCTGATACTAATGGGAACATGTGGGTTCCTGGGTGAACTTCATTCTGAAACATCAAGCAGAAGTGAACAGTGTTCATCCATGAGCAAATTAATAAATTTATTAATATTGTCTTCTGCACACAATCTACAATATCTACAATATTAATTTCTATATTGACATTTTGGAGAAGTTTAGTATTTCTAAATCTCATGACGGCATGTTGCTTTAAAAACAGTATTTATAAGCTTGATTATTTGTTCTAAAATGCTGAGAAAATATTATTGTCTTTGTACTTTTGCCTGAATATTTTTCAACCATGTTTTACCTGCCCTTGAAACAATAACTATGATGGAGAACATTTTATAGAATTGAAATAAAGTGAACCAAACTACTAACTATGCTGACTTTTCCTTTCTGATATTATAGCCCTCTCTTGTTATTTCCAATATATGATGGTAATTGTTTAATGTTTTATATTGGAGGCATTGCATTGTGCATTCATTAATCTTTGTGCATATTTCTCTCAAGAGTGCTGGGCCCATAACCGATTGACAGAGGAATTTGGGGGTATATGCGCAGCGGAAGAGGTTGCTAGATCAACAGACACAGGACTCCAAAAATCAGGACTCTGCAGTCTTACAGTTTTAAAATAACACAAACTTTACTAAGCACATCTACACACATCCATTCTTAGCAGGCAATCATCAGGAACTACAAAGCACAGCATAAACAGTTTCAGAACATCTGCTTATCAGACCTCTGGCTGTAACCGGATACTCCTTCTTCTTCCCACAGTCAGAGAACATGTTATCTCATTTCTGTCAAGGTTACTTTTCTCTCTGCTTCTCACAGTATTTCTAATACACAATTAAACATAATAGAATCTATCTTGAAACACATCATAATCCATCTTGAATTACATAGAAACACGTTAAAAAACACACATGCATACCTCAATAATCCTGACGAGCATATAGTGTAGAAAAGGTAGCTTTTAGTCATGTGCATTCAGACCAAAAGGCATATTGTTTTCGGTTCCATTTTCATATGACCCCTCATTTTGTTAACCAGAAGAGGAGTAGTGTTTTCTGTTTCATTCAGCAGAGATTCAGCCCATTGGCTACAATGGGAAACTTTAAAGCAGGGGTCCTCAAACTAAGGCCCGGGGGCCAAATACGGCCCTCCAAGGTCATTTACCCGGCCCTCGCTCAGGGTCAACCTGAAATTATTTGAAATCATACAACAACAACAACAACAGCAATCCTATCTCATCAGCCAAAAGCAGGCCCACACTTCCCACTGAAATACTAATAAGTTTGTATTTGTTAAAATTGTTCTTCATTTTTATTAATGTATTGTTTTTAAGTGTTTTTTAAAACTACAGATAAGATATGTGCAGTGTGCATAGGAATTCATTCATTTTTTTTCAAATTATAATCTGGCCCTCCAATAGTTTGAGCGACTGTGACCTGGCCCTCTGTTTAAAAAGTTTGAAGACCCCTGCTTTAAAGGCTCAATTCTCAGCCATTGTAAGGCCTATCTGCATGAAACCTACCTCAGTTGTAGACCCCATTTGCAACTACAGATATGTGGTATAGTAGCTTGACTCTAGGGAATATCACTGATTGGCCACAGAAACCCATAGGGCAGTGGTTCTCATCCTGGGGTCCACAGATGTCTTTGGCATTCAACTGCCAGAAATCCTAACAGCTACAAAACTGGCTGGGATTTCTGGGATTTGTAGGCCAAAAACATCTGGGAACCCCAGGATGAGAACCACTGCCATAGGGTGACACTGACCAAGCCATACACTCTCAGCTTAGGACAAATGCAAGGCCAAACCCTTCTGAATGAATGTTCCCAATAAAACTCATGAGAGGTTTGCATGAATGGACAAGTTTGAAGGTACATAACAACAACCATCTTGATAGCTGTTGGTGATTTGTGAAAACTGTTCTTTTCATACACTGTTAATATAATTTGCATTAAATATATAAAGTTAGGCAGTAGGCGACGTGATTAGATGTCCCTTTATTATTATTTATTTATTTAGGGCTTTTATATCTTTCTCAACCTCTGTAGAGGGACTCAGGACAGCTAACAAAGTGGCACCCCATGGCGCCCACATCAAAACATAAATATATAATTAACAGCAATGTAATAATAACAATATAAAACAGTATAAACAGTATAAAACCATATAAACAATATAAAAACAGACAACAATAAAATCAGAATATTTAGGTTCATAGTCTTTATATTGCACTTTATGAAAATACTTTGTCTTTTCATTTGCTATGAAGGAGAAACATTTTTTAGCTACTTAAGTACTTCACTATGTATTACTGCTTGTATGCGACCTTAACATAGAAATAATGCAATTCTGGTTACCAGTTACAGACTTCAGGAGGAGTCTGTAAAGCAGGGGTCTTCAAACATATACTTGGGAATTTACAATGCACTCAGAAAGTAAAGTATGATTGTCATGTCACACAGAATTATTGAAAATAATTTTCACAATTGTATTTATATTACTCTCAAATCTAATAACATAATTGTAAATTGATAATTGTTTCTTTCCTAGAAACGCTCCAGTAATCCGGTGCCAATGACGCAGGAACCGGCTCTTCTCTAGGGATCACCACTTTGAGTAGCATTGGTGTATGAAAGAGAGAGAAAGTTCAGCTTTTAACTACATTAACCTTTTGCTAAAACTTCTGTAGCAGCTAATTTTGTGTATTTTCCCTTTCTTATTACATCTTCTGTTCCCGTGGTATGTATTAACAATCACACAGTTATGCACTGTAATTGCTTAGGGGCATTCGCAAACAGCAATTGTTGTTGTTTGCTGTCAAGGTAACCCCATCAGAGATCTCCAAGACCTTGTTGTCAACTGCTCTGCTTTTTACCAAGCATGATTTTACCAAGCATTACCATCTTTACCGACAAATTATATTATTTTGTGAAAGACCCAAAGTATTACAGCATTTTTTAGAAGTGACACCTGATTTGCTTCAGGATGCGTCTATCATTTTTTTAGCAGTTCATGGTATCTGTAGAATTTTTCACCACCACATTACAAACTAGATGGCTTTCTTCCTGTTGGCTTTCTTCACTGACCTGTTTTTCACAACTATATATTAAAATGGGAATCGGTATGATATGGATGTGTCTGACTTTGGCAATTAATTGTGTATCTTTAGGCTTGATAATCTTCATAATTGCCCTTCCAAGTCTTAATATTTGACTCTTATTTTGATTAATGATTAAGCTGAGATTAGCTGTAATTGTGTGTTTTTTTCTCTTGATGGCCAACTGTGATCCTATTTTTTCACTTTAAGCAATATTTTTATGTAGTAAGGTAATTCATAGAGTTGGAAAAGACCTCGTGGGCCATCCAGTCCAACCCCTTGCCAAGAAGCAGGAAAATTGCATTCAGAGCACCCCCAACAGATGGCCACCCATCCTCTGTTTAAAAGCCTCCAAAGAAGGAGCCTCCACCACAATCCAGGGCAGAGAGTTCCACTGCTGAACAACTCTCACAGTTAGGAAGTTCTTCGTAATGCTCAGGTGGAATCTCCTTTCTTGTAGTTTGAAATCATTGTTCTACATCCTGGTCTCCAAGGCAGCAGAAAGGAGATCCAAGGAAACCTACAGCAATTTAAAACAAGAGTGAATCTAACTATTCATTGCAGACATTTTGAAAAATAGTAATTAAATAATGTTATTCCAAACCATGGTTAAAACAGTGAATAACACACTCAAAAAACTATTATTAAAAAGATTTTAAAATAAAATATAGCACACCATTTCACACATACTTTGTTGTGTGCCTTCATGCCATTTCCAATGTATGATGGCATAAAGGCAAAGCTATAATGGGGTTTTCACAGCAAGATTTGTTCAAAGAGTTTTGCCATTGCCCCCCCCTTTGAGGCTAAGAAAGTGACTTGCCAAAGGCACCCAGTGGATTTCCATGGTCAGGGATTTGATCCCTGGTCCCTTAACATCAGAGTCCAACACTCAAATCACACTCTGTCCTATACATGTCCGATTGCTATATAATTTGCCATTCAAATGCCTGCCTGAATATAAAGGTGTAAAGAAAACAGGAAGGGGATCAATCAGACTTCCCAAGAAAGGATGTTGTGTCCTCGCCAGCCATGACTGTGAAGGTAGTGGACATAAACCATGTAGGGCTTGAAAGGTCAAAACACTGAATTGTACAGCCTGGCTGCAGCATTTTGAAACCTCTCTAAGGCTTCAAAGGTAAGGTAGCCCCACAAAGAGTGTGTTACAGCAATCCAAACATACATCTTAATTTTTAATCCCCACGCAGACATGGAAAGTTCCCTCCAGCCTTAGAAAAAATCAATAGCAAACCTTGGAGCAAATCTTGTGGAAAAACAAAAGTCCTGAGGAGAGAATTGCTAAAATTCAGGGCCAACTTGAAGGCATGCTACAGGTTCACAAATGCAGGTACTTTTAGCTATATGATTTCCTACCATTACTCAATTTGCATTTGAATCTGGTTTTATTTACTATTCACTTTATGCTGAAAATTGTTAATTAATTAGTCTTTGCTTGTCTCCATGACCATAAGAATACTTTGCATCTAATGAACATAAAAGAGTGATGATTGCATACCCAATACAGATAGACAGTGCCCATATGACCGAAGAAGTATGGAAGATTTATGTCATTTTTGGGAGGAATTTAGACCTTTGTATTGTAGACCTAAGAACTCAATATCTTGACTCTCTTACTGTTCATATTAGAGATGCTTTCCTCTCAAACATGACATTTTTATTAGCAGGAATGGACTCTAATGTGTCTTGTCAAGCAGCCAAGTATGTCAAGTTAGCCCTGATAAAGGGATACATTTTTAAGCTGGCTAGTGACAAATCTCAGACCTATTTGGGATGTTTTTATTACCAATCCAAGTATTTTATCTTAATTACATTCGGCCCTCCACATTTTAAGGTTATACTTCTGCAGGTTTCATAATTTACATAATTTAATTGAATCTCCAGGTTCTCTTATTGCCGGAGGACCCAGATAATCCTAGAGGTGTCCTAGTTAAAATAATAGTTGGGGGAAGAGGGTTATTTGCATTTTAATAGGGTCCTGGTCCCCAACCCCAGCAAATGTGGAGGGACAACTGTATGTCTGAATATGATTAAACCAATAGGTTTAATGTATTGTCGAAGTCTTTCATGGCTGGAATCACTGGGTTGTTGTAGGTTTTTTTGGGCTATATGGCCATGTTCTGGTCTTTCCACAGATATATAAACCCATTTTCCTAGTTCCAGCAGACCTCACTACCTCTGAGGATGCTTGCCATAGATGCAGACGAAACGTCAGGAGAGAATGCCTCCAGAAAAGTATTTGTTAG